GTTTCTATCCTTGAAGATTACAGACCTTTTCTCACCCCTCTAATGTTAAATGGCTTTCAAATCTCTCCCTTCAACACAGAAAAACTTATGAATAGGATGCTGCAGTATGGTGCCATGTGTCAGAGTGTGATTCAGAGTCACAATGAATCACACTCTGCCTTTGGATGGTGGATCAATACTCACAGGCCGCAGAGAAGCTTCAGAATCATCATAGCTTCCTCTCCTCATTGCTGCAATCCCATAATCCGGAGAGTCCATGCTGGTGTCTCCGATCAAGCCCTCGATCCCCTGTTGTCCAGTTCTGTAGCTTGATGGCAATTTACTTTGGTTGCAGTTTTGCTGCAAGTAGAGGGGAAGTAGTTTGTGTCCCAATTTGATTGCCACGGTGCGGCTGCAGAATGACGCCTCCTGCCCTGCAGAACAGCTTCTTCTAACTGGTGCTAATGAGGGTTACAACAATGGAGGCCCGGCTGGCACGCAAAACAGAAGTGGGGGTTTTTTGCAGCTGACCTGGACCTGCAGTGCCAGTCTGACCGTCCCCCTCCTTCCCAAAACACCGTACCCATCCTTCCCTCCCTCCATCACAGCCTGTCCTGTTCCGCTCCAGTGGGGCAGCTTCCTCCCATAATGAGATCGCTCTGTGTCCCATCAGGGCCTGCCGCCTCGTCCCCATTTCCAGGCTAACGAGGGTGAGATGCCGTGACAGCCAGTGCCTCGTAAAAAAAACAGGGTCTCACAGATTTTCCCCATCCCCCCACGTGTGTGTAAATGAATAGGTGCACACACACACAGATGTACTTTTAGAATTGAGCTTTTAAGGCAAGTGCAGTCTACTTTCAGTTTATTATTAGAAAAATGATTGATTAGTGTTACAGGTATACAATTCAAACTAAATGGACTGACAGCTGAGAGCAAAGGAGAAACATATTCAAGGGAGAAATGTTTGAAAAGCATTTCTGTCTGCTTAAATGATCATGAGCAATAGCTTGTCTAGAAGAGTAAAGTGGCACACCGCAATGAACTAGTGGCTCTGAATCTTTGACCAGTCACAACCGACTTGCAGACACACCTCCTGATCCACTTCTCACAATATGAACACATGCAGAACACAGGAGAGTAAAAAAATCTGATTTATAGAATATTTCAAAATATGTTGGGATTTTATATTCAGGGTTATACACAGTGGTGAAGAAGGTATTCACATCCTATCCTCAGAAGTCTTACTTGAGAAATAGTACAAAAAATATTGTCATCAAAATGTACCCAAAGTATCAAACGTAAAAGTACTCAGCAGAAAAACTGCCCTTGTGAGCAGCATTTTACTGTAAAAGCTGGTCGGGGTAGTTTAACTGCTTTAAATACACTGGTTTAGTTCAGTGGTTCCCAACCTAGGGGTCAGTCGCCTTCAAAGGGTCACAAGACAAATATGAGGGGTCATGAGATGATTATTGAGCTGCTAGTGTGGCTGCAGACTGTTCTTTTTCTTTTATATTTCAATATGATACTTTACATTTTATTTTATATTCTGACTTTCTTTTTCTTTACTTATTTTCCAAAACATAATGAATTTGCTTCCTTATTTATGATTTTAATCATTTAAGTTTACCAATGCTAACATTTCTTTTTAAATAATTAATCTTGTTGACACAAAACTCCAAGGATAACTTATCAGCAGGGGGACATTCAAACAAACAAACAGCACTTTTGCCCTGTGTTTAGTTGGCCCTGGTCCTGGAGAACTCCATTTAGTCTTGTTTAGATAATGGTTTCCATCTAGTTGTCAAAAGCTCAGCATGGAGCCAATTCTACACTAGTTTGATCTTGGCTGTCTGGTGGAGTGGCTGTGTTCTAAGGATGTGTGCAATAATTGTCGCTACTGCAATTTATGCCAATTCACATGTGTTTTCTTTAACAGATCTAATTTTGAGACAGGTTTACGTTTTCTAAAGGTGTGTACATGTGTTTTGATTGGCACTGAAAAGTAATTAAGCTGCCACAGACTGATATGCCTCTTTTAAAAGTGTTCCCATGCATGCCCAGATACAGCTTTTTCCAAATGTTTGTTTGTTCAAGGTGATAAAATGCATACATCATACACAGTGGTGAAGAAGATATTCACATCCTATACTCAGGTAGAAGTACCTATATTACAATTTATAAATACACCATTACAATTAAACAGTTTTGTTGTGTATTTATTGCCACTAAGGGGATTTAATTGGAGAATATACTGCACGGATTCTGCAAAAATGAAACTGTTGTTCGATCAACAGTACATCAGAGCTTTCCATTATAATGTTTGCAATATTGAATATTCACATGTAGATAATAAGAGATGCTGCTCCCATAATGCACCTTAAACTGAAACAGAAGCAGAAGATGAGGATACATATTTATTGATCCCCATGGGGGGGGGGGAGTACACAGCTAGAGAGCCACAGTAAAACAGAAATTATAAAGTGGTGAAACAGATGTGAAATTGGGAATCGGGATCCCCCTTCCCAAAGGCGTCTGAAGATGACACATAACAAGAGAAGAATGTAGAAATCATATTTCTGCTAAACAAAATTGTTTCTTTTTTCACAGATTTTTTTCCTAATCTTGGCTGTTTTGCTGCTTGATTACAGGCCATAATCACAGGATAATGTGGTATCAATAAGACCGGGCAGCAAAACACAAAGGTAACTTTTCTCAATTGTCAATACAATCATGAATGTCCTGCTGAGCTGTTACTTTTCCAATTTCCAGCTTCATTTATACCACACAGGAGGGAGCTGTAGTCCACATATAGACTTACAAGTATTAGACACACTTAGGAGGATTAATTTACCATCCAATCATTGCCTGGCGACTTATTTTCACCTAACCTAAATGTGAAAGGTGTCTCCCGTAGTAACAAACTAACAGAGAATAATCACCCACCTTCAGACCCGTCGCTCTCATCAGCCTCTTTTCCAGCTGCAGTAGGCCAATAAAACAATTATTGCTGCTTTATGTAAAAATGATGTCTTAAACCTTAAATGTTGTGATTTACTTTGTGAAGACCACCTGTCTCCCAGTAGGAGGTGAGTCTCATATTGTGATTGTAAGAACACATTTTGTCGCAACAAGGTAAAACAAGTGCATAGAAATAACATTCAATTCAACAAATCACTCAGACCAACCAACTGACACCACTTTGTATGGATTTCCATAAAATTTTATCCAGTCGTTCATGCTCCTATGATAAATAGTAATAACTTTGGTGATGATACCATAAAATCTCTTTCATGCTCACTACATAATAAACCCTTTTCATATAAAAGACCTTTGCTGTGACACCATCGTATGTCCAGTTTTTACAGTTATTTCACCACAACTTTAATTCTTGTTACAATTTTTATGCCACTCACATGAAAACACTATACATTTCTAATTGCTGCCACAATGGAGTACAAAGAGTTCTTTAAAGAGTGTCAAATTAGTCGCTCTCTCATTAACATGCATGAAGCTGTTACATCCCTCGGCCTGAAGCTGATTCTGCTCTGATGGATTTTTATTTCTTTCCATTTAAGCAGCTGTTTAAGCATTTTGAACCATGAAATATTAACAATCAGAGAAGATGTCCAAGGTGGTGTCCAAGATTTCAGCAGCTATTATTCTCACTTGACTGATTTGTTATCATACTGCAGTACATTTTTGATGAGTTTCTGTACATTATAGAAACACATTTCAATCCCACAAGAGGCAGTTGTTGAGTGTTAGAAAAAGACATGTTTTTGGGCTGCTTCATTAGAACCCAAAGGAGAGAGCTAAATACAGAGTCAACACATATCAGTATTGATAGTTACTGGTCAAATTAATATTTAAAATGCAAGATAATTCATGAACTTGGAGTGAAAAGACCATCACAGATAAGACTCCCACCTTGTAAAATGATGATGCAAGATTTTTTTAAAGATCCCAAAACTCATGAAAAATCATAAAAAACAAACACATCAAAGGTGCAAAAGAAACAGAGAAACATTCAAATCTCATGAAATGTGGGTAAATTAGTTATTAGTATGTTCAAATCCAAACATCAGACAAAACATATGTCTATGTTTGCTTTTTCAGCATACTGTCCTTGACATTATTACCAAAAGAACAACCAAAATATTACAAATACTTTTCAAACATAGACTTCGAACAGCTTACACTCACACACACATAAACATGCAAACACTAAACTTAATGGTGTCATAGATTTCGGCTGGTTTATTTTAAAATGCACATTACAGGGACAACAGCAGGTGGTCCAGTTTGTTTGTGCTCGGTATGTGAGGCAGAGTGAGTACAAACACTCTCAAAGTGGATCTGCTGCATCTAACAAGAGCAACTGCTGGATGAAATTATGATAACAGTAGATTTATTACATTTTATAGACATATTAAGCTAAAAACATAAAGTTGAATTTTATAAATCATTAATTTAAAACTGATCTCAGAAATCATACTTACTGTGCTCTTTGCTAATTTATTAATATTTATTTATTTATTCATACACAATAATTTACTGAAACATTTAACGACAGCATAAATATATTTAAAAAATAAACAGCTTTAACAATGCACAAACAGGATAATAGTGCCTGAAAACAGGCCTTTTGATTCTAGTCTTGTTCATAGCAAGAAACAAGACTAGACTCTATAGCCACGCTAGCAGCTCTATGAGAATAATGCCAAGTTCACGTCATTTGGGATGGATGGGAGGGATTCCCATGTTTACGACTTGCAAACATTCACATTAGACAGTTATATGATAACACAGTTGGCTGGGTAAAGATCAATAACATGCATTGGCAATATTACACCATATCCATTCTTTTTGGAAACATTGTACATATACATTGTACGATGACAGTCTTTGGCTGATGTGAGGCATCCATTTTGGGGGGTTTTCAGGCTCTTCTGAATTGTATCCATCGGACTTCTTTCTGAAAAATCTGAATCTTTCCCAGTCATTATTATTTAATGTGAATGCTATTTACAAGTTGTAAACTTGTAACTACCAAGGGCGACAATACACTTACTTCACAAAGTGCACAAAATTGGGGTCACGAACACAAGTCGAGAAGTTATCTTAACACTACTTTGAAGAAATATTCAATGCTGAAATATATGAGTGAGAGTCCTCCCCCAGAAGATTTTGAGCATTAATCACATTCCTGCATTCTAGTGACATTTTCTGCACCAGTTTATGCTGAAAATGTCCTTATTTATAAAATACAAAATATTCAGTTGGCAGGTGACAATTCAAAATCTAAAAATATAATGGATCATAATTCAGTAGGCCTAATCAGTAGGTTGTTTTTTTAGCTTAAGTTACTGTTTTTGGACAATGCACATTTGTTTCTTCTGTATTTACATTGCATTGCAATGTTTTCTTATTGTGAAAATAAACCTTTTCAAAGAATTTTCATTTGTTATAATTTATTGTTGCTTTTAAGTGATGGGGACATGTCCGCAGTGTCCCCAGTCTTTACAGTTAAGTTAATAGTTGAATAAGTTAAAAAAAGAGCTTAAAAAGTAAAATTACACGGGTTCATGCTGGGTGCTGCCCTCTACTGGTCAGAGTTAATAATTCAGTGAAGCACACTCCTCAGACAGGCAAGAAAGACAGTGCTGGATTCATGTTGCTGAATGTAATTCTGATACCCTTCTGCCTTGGAGACTATGTGCATGTAACTAATGTGTAAATCATTTTCAATCACTTGCATTTGTAAGGAACGTTTTTATGTTTTGGTAAAACATGTGCTCTGTTAGCTAGCAGCACAGCAGTAGCTAGCTCTGCTCTTTAATTGTTTTGTGACTTGTAGAAGTTGTGGTAGGTGAACTGTGTTTTCATACAGTAGGCTACATTGCTTGTTGTATACAGTAGGCTACAGTGCTTGTTTTACACTTTGATAGGAATTTTGTAGTAACACAGTTATGTGTATTATATGTAACCTCTGTATGCATATGTTCATGTTTTGGGTACTGATTTATATTCTGTAATGTTTCAGTTTTACAAAACAAAACAAAACAAAAGAGGAAACAACTTGAGTAAAATACAAGAAAAGTCAAGCCTTGTGTGTTTATTGGAGGACTTTTGAATGTTAACTGGCTGTCTAGCTTTGCACAAGAGATCACATTGCAAGGGCAGCACACCAGTGTACATGACACCTATGGTAACTACTATAACTCCAATATGACATGAAGGCAGCAGAAGGCTCAGCGGTACTTTCAGCTAAATGCTAAAACCAGCATGCAAACAAGCTCACTGTGACAATGCTAACATGCAGGTGTTTACCAAATATAATGTTTACCATGTTCATCATCTTGGTTTAACATGTTAGCATGCTAACAATTGCTAATGAGCACTAAATACAAAGTACGGTCGAGTAGAATGTCATTACTACTGGACAAATTGAAAGTTTGACCTGGTGGTGGCGCTAGATGAAAAGTCAGAGGATCACCAAAATCACTGAGATTCCTCCTGAGGGGACCAAATTTCATGGTAATCCATCCAATAGTTGTTGAGACATGAGACCAAAGATAGACAATAGTCATTTCCAGAGTCACACTGCTAACGTGGCTCAAAACACATTATAACAATGATCTTGGTTGCATTTAGCTGTACCTGTAAGCCTCAACAGGGATGCAGGATGCTGAATACGACTGCTCTAGGACTAATACACTTTAATGGAATGGAATTCAGCCATTATTGACTTAATTACCTGTGTTACCTGACAAATAAAAACATCCCCCAAGAGAAAGGTTTGCGTGGTCTTTCTGTGGCTCTGCTAATCTGTCGTGCAAGTGGGAAAAAAAACAAATTTAAAGTCTGCATTATACAAACACATTAACATGTAACACAGATCATATTTGTATGTAACATGTAACTAGTGATTAGTCAGTTTACACATCAGTAGTGTGCAAAATGATGTACAGCTATACCCGTTTGCATGTGTAACACTGAGTATAACATTTGAACATTTTGTGCCCTAAATAGGTTTGCTATGATAGAAAAAGACAAGCGTTGCGATTCAGCTACTATGTATTACTCATGGAGAGTGTGTGATCAAAGGATTTAACAGGATACAGGCTATTAAGCTAGCTCAAAGGGAGCTGGATGTTAAACTAGACTGCAGCTCAGTCTCCCGGAGATGCACCCAACCCAGATAGAAACTCTTCTTTATAAGCTCACAATTTCATGCAGCAACATGGACCCTGATTCATTACTTAGAGTTGTCAGTAAGGGACCAGACTTTTGGGTTGGTGGTGATCCACAGTTTAACCACGCTGCCTTTAACAATGAACAATGATAGACAGAGTTCATATCGTGACAGCCAGGGAATCTTTGGCAGGTTTAGTGTCCACAATGGTAGGGGTTTTATTCAGAGCGGAGCCCCAGCAGGCGCACACTGGCCTGGACTGGACACGGTTGCTGCTGGTGTGGGTCACTTTGTCTTTGCTGTTGCTGTGTGTTCTGTTCTGAAACTTCTTTTGGACTTCCTGGAGCTGAATGTGGATGGGATATGGGCTTTGGTGGCCCATGGTGACGTGGACTCCCACTCGATTTCCTCCCAGCTTGGAGCAGAAAGAGTGGAGCACGCTGCGAAGCTCCTGCCGAAAAGTCTTGTTAAAGTAGAAGTAGATGAACGGGTTGTAGACATGGGAGCTTTTGGCGAAGAGGGTGGGGAAAACAAAGCCCTTAGGAGCCATGTACCAGCTATCTTTGTGGAAAATGAAGAGGAAGGACACGACAGCGTATGGTGCCCAGGCAATCACAAAACCCAGGCTGATGCAGAAAAACATCTGGAAGAAGAAAGTAATAGATTAAAGAAGATTACAACACTTCTGACGTTCACTAGTACCAGAGGGGTGTCGTCACATAAAGCATTTTTTAGAAAAACAAAAGCCATGTGAGGAAGCAGCCTAAAAATAATCTATATTCATATTTTCCTGGCAACTAATCTCTTGTAGTCATGTGAATAATGACTGTCCTCTCTGATAGCATCAGTCACATGGTCAAATTACTTAAAAATGACATCTTTATTTTCAGTAGCTAAGTAGGAAATGTGTTGTTTCTTAGCTCTGTTTAACATCATCAGCTTTGGGTGTACAAAGAAAAACTGACCTAGTCACAGCAGCTTCCCTAATATTCAGTCTTTTGTCAACGTCAACCATGGTATCTTTTGACCATAACCTCGATCTCCTGCTACTGCCACCTAATGCAGGCCCCTCCACAATATTCCTCTGTGCTTTTTCCAAGTTAACGCTTCATGACTCTCAATCTTATTCAAATACTTCGTTTTTTACTACTTTACCACACGTTTTCAAAACCATGTCTCCTTTTTTCAAAACTCTACACATAATTCCCCAAACTGCTCACACAAAATGCAAAATGCCTCATATGTTCTTCAAAATTAATTTACATTCCATAAACACATCCCAAAATGAAGCATTTGCATCAGATGGCACACTTTTTACAAAATAGTAAGTTTTTTGATATACCATTTACACAGTTATTCTAAATCTAAAGCTCTTTTGTTTTTTATAGGCTTATGTGTACACAAAGAGGTACTGAAAAGTGCATTGTAAACACCAATGCAATGTTGAAAGCTTTTTATATACAGTCTATGGTTGCATCAGCTAATATTTATTTGGCAAAACATTACTGTTGTAACAGTAGCACAGTGTTGTAAACAGTAGCATACAAGAAAAGGAAACCATAAACATGCAAACCAAAAGTATCATTTTTTAATTTTATTGCCAAAAAATAAGACTTCTTTTACAATACTGTGCTGCTGAAATAACCATTAGATTGTTGCAACCTGTTCTAATTTCTGAAGGTTCAAATTATGGATGCCAATGTAAAGCGATTCAAGTTTGGCTTCTCTCCCAAAAGCTCAGACAAAAGAAAGCAAACTGGATGTGATTGCACCTTATATACATATAATTGAGTGACAGAGGATAACAAAATAAACACAACAAAAGGCAGTTGCTTCCATATAAGTCACGAGGGGTCACTGAATGATTAGATGAGTATATAGAGAATGTGAATCATATGCTACAGCCTTCAGCTGATGTTGTTTTTCCTCCTTTTATTTACAAGCTTTTGCTGTAGTCACTACATGTCTTAGCCAAACATGCCATGCTTTATTGGGCAATTCAGAAATGCCATTTATTTGCATGTGAGTGGTACAATACATGTTCTAAGACAGCTTTTATGGAAATGTTACGAAAGTTTTCCGCCATTTGAAATTATTTTCTTTTCTTTGGCTGCATGTCTACATGTGGTTTTCAACACACCACAAATATCTGTATATGAAGAGATAGAGAAGAGTGTTAATGAATGCTTTCAGTACTGAAGAAAACATCTAAACATGATCAGTATGAGGCAAGATCTGAAGTTATAAGAGGTGTTTTTTCTTCCTATGAATGATGGTTTATTCGCATTCGCAACTCATCCTTTAAGTCTGTTCTCTCACCATGGAAAGTCGTTTTTCAGATTGCCGCAGGTTGTGGCGGATGCCTCTCACTGACAGGGAGGAGGAGAAGCGGGACACCTTGTGGAGGATACAACACTGGGACACCACAATGAGGAGGATAGGTACGAGTGTGAACAAGGTGAAGGAGCAGATGACGTAGAAGGCATCCTTGGCTGAGGTGTGATAACTCCTCCAGGCGATGGTGCAGGAGAGTCCATAAGGCTCAGGGACGTACTCACCCCAACCGAACAGAGGGAAGCTAGACCACACTCCTGCCACGAGCCAGATGCCACAGCACACTATGTGGATGTTGGTTCCTTCTAGCCACTCAGCTGTGAAGAGGAAAACAAAACCTGTTAGTTATCTAATGGAGTTAGTGCACAGTTACATATGGGATACGCCTTAGTGCTTAAAGCAATAGCTAAAATTTTTGGCAAGTTCACTTATTTCACCAAGAGTTAGATAAAAAGATTGATAACACGTTCTTGTCCGTACAGGAAATATTAAAGCTACAACCAGTAGCTGTTTAGCTTTGCACCAAAATGTTAAATAGGGGGAAGTAGCTATCTTGTCTCTGTCCAAAGGTAAAAAAACATACACCTACAAGCACATCTAAAGCTCAATAATTAAGAGGTTAAATCTTGGTTTGTTTATTCTCTACAAAAAATCTAAGGGTAAAATTGGCAATTCAGTGTTTTATAGGGGTTATCTTGTTAACTTCCAGGTGTCCCATGAAACCAAAGCTTGTCATTATTAAATTTCACGTTTTGTACAGATTTAAACAAACAATGTGTGTAAAATTTTGAGCTTTAGAGGTGCTGATGTGCAGATTTTCTTACTTTTGGACAGCGCTAGGCTAATTGTTTCCATCCTTTTCCAGTATTTACAGTCCCCTCCAAAAGTATTGGAACGGTAAGACAAATTCCTTTTGTTTTTGTTGTTCACTGAAGACATTTGGGTTTAAGATCAAAAGATGAGTATGAGACAAGAGTTCAGAATCTCAGCTCTCATTTCCTGGTATTCACATCTAGATGTGTTAAACAACTCAGGATATACCACCCTTTGTTTGAACCCACCCATTTTCAAGTGAGCAAAAGTATTGGAACACATGACTGACAGATGTTTTTCATCCTTGGTTCAAACTTATAAAGACTGTATTTCCTGTTAAAGAGGATAAACCAACATGAAGACCAGAGAAGTGTCTGTGGGAGAAAAGCAAGCCATTGTCAAGCTGAGAAAAGAAGGAAAATTGACCAGAGCCATTGGACAAACATTGGGCATAGCAAGCACAACAATCTGGAAAGTCCTGAAAAAGAAAGAAACTACTGGTGTACTGAGGAACAGCCGTCGAACAGGTCGGCCAAGGAAAACAACAGCAGTTGATGACAGAAATATCGTGAGAGCTGTGAAGAAACCCCCCAAACATCAGTAAGTGACATCAACAACAGTGCAGGGGTGAAGGTATCACAATCCACTGTTTGAAGAAGACTCAGAGAAGAAATATAGAGTCCACACCACAAGATGCAAACCACTCATCAGCAGGAAGAATCGGAGGCCAGATTGAAATTTACAAAGAAGTACAGAGATGAGCTGCAAAAGTTGTGGAACACAATCTTATGGACTGATGAGACCGAGATTAATCTCTACCAAAGTGATGGAAAGGCCAAAGTGTGGAGAAAGAAAGGAACTGCTTATGATCCGAAGCATACAAGCTCATCTGTGAAGCATGCTGGAGGTAATGTCATGGAACAGGCTCATTAATATTTATTGATGATGTAACTGATGATGGTAGCAGCAGAATGAATTCAGAAGTGGACAGAAACATTTTGTCTGCCAATTTACAGAGAAATGCATTGAAACTAATCAGGAGGAAGTTTATGATGCAGCAGGTCAAAGACCCAAAGCACACTGCCAACAAAACAAAGGACTTTATCAGGGGAAAAAGTAGAAGGTTTTAGACTGGCCAAGTCAATCACCTGACCTTAACCCAATAGAGCTGCACTTCACCTCCTTAAGAGGAGACTGAAGGGAGAAACACCCCGAAACAAACAAGAACTGAAAGAAGCTGCAGTAAAAGCCTTGAATAGCATCACAAATGCAACAGTTTGGTGATGTCGATGGGTCACAGGCTTGAGGCAGTTATTGCAAGCAAGCGTTATGCCACCAAATATAAAATGTTATTTACTTTAAGATTATTTGTTCCATTACTTTTGCTCACCTAAGAATGCTGTGGTCTAATACAAAGGGTGGTATGTCCTGAGTTGTGAATACCAGGAAATAAAAGCTGAAATTCTGAACTCTTGTCTCATACTCATCTTTTGATCTTAAACCCAAATGTCTTCAGTGAACAACAAAAACAAAGGAATTTGCCTTACTGTTCCAACACTTTTAGAGGGGACTGTATATTGAGCTATGCTAACTGGTTACTTGGGTAACCGGCCCCCGAGGTTTGTAGTACAGCACAGTCCAGACTTGAACTTGCGGCCTTGGGTACGGGAGGCGGACGCACTAAAGAGGGGGCTAAAACCCATGGGCGCTAGCGTCTGACGCTTACACGTCTCTTAAGGCGTCAGCGAGTGAGGTTTTCTCACTGTACAGCCTAGCTGGCTACCGCTATAGGTTTATATTTATTTTACAGACAGAGTGGTATCGATCTGCTCCTCTCATCCTCAGCAAAAAAGAGAATAAGCTTATTTTCCTGAAAATGCCTTAATATCAAAAAATCTACATTTTTGTCAAGTTAAGCTAGTGAAACAGTTACACAACACTCTGCTTTAATTAGCTTCATCTACACCTAAGAGATCTTGTATTGAGCACAAAGGGCTTAAGATAAGGATTACTGTTATAGCACTATTGCTACAACTCTTTCATCCCTTTAAGCTTTTTGTCAATACCTCATCATGTCTATTCAAAGTCTTTGAACTGTCTCTAATCAACCAGCAACAACTGCCCTCACCGTAAACCAAGCTGTAGCAGGTCTTCAGGTAGCGGATGATGCTGATGGCGGTGATGGTGAACATGCCACATAGGCCGAAGGTATAGCTGCCGAGGCCATAGTAAACACTGATTTTTTCTCCAAGCCACACGTGGTGAAAGGAGGACATGATGGAGAGCGGGTAGAAGCAGATGCAGCAGAAGAAGTCGACCACGGCCAAGTTGACGCACAACATCTCTGAGCCCAGCATCTTCTTCCTCCTGCGGTAAGAAATCACCAGAACCAGCCCATTGCCCAGAACAGCGAGCAGAACTAGACATCGGGACAGAAAACAAGAGGAATAAAACATTTTGTTTCAAAATTAAAGCTGCATTAACTGATTTTTTGGCCACTTGATCAGACGTATTTGCCAAAGTTAGTCTTCATCCTTTATGTCTTTTCTCTTGTAGGACCAAAACTTACAGTTTGAAAACACGACCTGACTGGCCTGTCGACAGAAAGACATCATTTGTCTATGCCTGAATGCAATACAGGTGGGAAATTAATGATATGGCCTACAGTGAAAAATAACTGTGTGTGACAGTGTGCGTTTAACTCATCTGCTGTCAATAAAGCCTATAATTTATCTAGTGACAGAGTAGCTTACACTCAAGTGCTGCAACAGTGAAGATCTAATCTAAAAAAATCAGGTCCCAGAGTTTCAGTCATTTCAACAGCTGGGCACTGTAATAGTTTCTAAACAACAACAGAGCACTTAGCACAGAGGAATAAGATATATAAGGCTTTGGCCACACAAACAATTTTTAGTAGGATGAATTAATGGTTGCTTTGGGCTTTCCCTGGGATTTGTTGACAGTAGACCATCCAAAGCATTTCCATCCACTACTCTTAACCAAATACAGGTCCAGCATAATGTAAAAGTTCATTTTCTTCTGTAATATAATTCAAAGAGTGAAACCTTTGTATAGGTTATTCTAGATTCATTACACATAAAGTGAAATATTTCAAGACCATTTTTAGTTTTAATTTAGATGATAATGGCTTACAGTGAGTTTTTTTTTTTATCTTGACCCTCCCCAGAGCTACAAATACTTTTCCTTGAGCCTCCTATTATATTCAGACCAAAGGTAGAGCCTCCTAATATATTCAAACCAGAGTCAAAAGCAATGTTAGGCAGAATGCGGATTTTGAGGACAGTGGTCTGGATTCCTACATCAGGCTGCTCTTCCTGGACTTTTCATCTGCCTTTAACACATCATTCCACAGACCTTAATCAACAAACTGCTGCTGCTGGGACTAAGACCATCTCTCTGCAACTGGGTCCTGGACTTCTTGACTTCTTGAGATCCATGGCAACTCATCTTCTGCCATCATACTCAACACTGGCTCCCCACAATGATGTGTCCTGAGCCCTCTGCTGTAAACTCTCCTCGCATATGATTGCTCTGAAAAATACCCGAGCAATCATATAGTGAAATTTGCAGATGACACGGCTGTGGTTGGACTGAATTCTAACAATGGCGAGTCAGCGTACAGGCAGGAGGTGGATGAACTCATGGTCTGGTGCAGAGCAAACAATCTCTGCATCAATGTGGGAAAGATTGAAATGGTTGTGGACTTTAGGAGGAGAGGCCATACCCCACCTCCTCTCCTCTTCAGTGATAGAGTAATTGTGGAGATGGTGTCCACCTTTAAATATCAGGGCCTGCACATCTCCAATGACCTCACATGGGCTACCAACACAGCCAGCATTATTAAGAAGGCCCACCAATGTCTGTACTTTCGGAGGAGGCTGAAGCAGGCAGCCTAAACCCTGCTATCCTGACCGGTTTTTACCGGTGTGTGTTGTGGAGACCACAATGACATCTTCCATCGCTGTCCAGTATGGAAACTGCTCTGCGGCTGACAGGAAGGCACTGCAACGAGTAGTTAAATCTGCTAAAAAAAATAACAACAAATAGCAGCCTCCGATCCCTAGATGACATCAAGCCACCCGGCGCACAAACCCTTCTGGCAGAAGGTTGCACAGCCTAAAAGTGCAGCTTCTTTCCAGAGGCTGTGAGGCTTATGAACTCCCTGGCTTAGAGCTCCCCCAGCCCTTTGCTCTCACATTGCTGCTACTTAGGACTTAGTTTCACATTTGAGGGCGGGCTCTCTGTATCATATATCTGTCAGCATCCAACAAATAGAATGGATAATTTTAAGATGAGGAGCCTATGATCAAAATTATGAATTACTGTTCAAGGCACTTTTTTCATGTAGTGGCCAATTTTGAGATTTTGATCTATTCTGCCTCCTCTTCTTTTACTCTAATGGGAAGAAAACTTAGAGAATACAAATTTAGATGGTTTGTTTTAAGCCTACTACCCTGTCTGTTTGCATCTGTAGATTTCTTCTATATTAACCAAGCTAATCTGCATAGGCCTATTTAAACAACATTTCAGGGGATGTAAGTCTCTAACTGGGGACGTTCTGTGGTGATATGATTTAGTTATTTTGTTAATCCTATTCACCTGCAGTGCCTTGTCAAATGTAGGCGAATTGGTACATTTTAATTGGTTAACCCCTAATTTGCATATCAATGTGGCGATTGCGATGACGTTGTTAGACACGAATGTTACTGTATTCACCTTTCGTTTCTCCGTTAAGCACAGCACATTAGCATGACGACGCTGAAGTTAGCTTCCGATTCGCAGCTTCCGATTCGGCAGTTAAGGGGAAAGTTAGGGGGACTTAAGTGAAAGTTAACTTACGTTGCTGAATCTCCGTTTTTTGCACCTCTTCTGCTGTGAAAGCTGTTATGCATTTTAGGCAAAGCCTTAAAGCTGTCTGAAACACTTTTTTAGATTTGAAAAAACTTTATTTTATTTGTGAAAATGAAAAAAAGGGTGATTTCACTGCTTTTTCTCCACATGTAGACCACATTAAACCAGGGCCAGATCCAAAACCAGTATACCTAGAGATCTGAACTGACAAAGTGTCATCTCCTGACCTGATATTTAGATTTTTTTAATTCAATAAATATATTTGTTTGACAGGGAAGCTGTGCGCAAACAGGAATAAATGTATATTAATTTATACAAAAAACGCACCCTAGAAAAAGTAGCCCGTATTTTTTTCTGTGTGCACGTGTTTGGAAAGTTGACTGGAAGGTTAAAGTGTGGTAGAAAAAGGTGCACAAGCCACAGGGATGAGCACAGCCTTGAAAAAGATTGTCAAGCCAAACAGATTCAAGAACTTGCGGGAGCTTCACAAGGACTGGACTGAGGCTTGAGTCAGTGCATAAGAGCCACCAGTCACAGACCTGTCCAGGAAATGAGATACAAGCATTTCAAGTGTCAAGCCACGCTTGAACCAGAGACAATGTCAGAAGCGTCTTGGGCTAAGGGGATAAAGAACTGGACTGTCGCTTAGTGGTTCAAAGTCCTCTTTTTAGATGAAAGTAAATTTTGCATTTCATTGGGAAATCAGGGTCCCAGAGTCTGGAGGACGAGTGGAGAGGTACAGAATCCAGTGTGAAGGTTTGTGATTATATGCTGGTGCCATGTCATCCGCTGGTGTTGGTCCACTGTGTTTTATAAAGTCCAGAGTCAATGCAGCTGTCTACCAGGAGAATTAGAGTAGGCCTACTAAATGCTTCCATCTGCTGACAAGTTTTATGCTGATTTCCTTTTCCAGCAGGACTTGGCGTCTGCCCACAGAGCAGTAATTCAAGCAAAAGAATCATAATCAGAAATACTTTATTGACCCCCCAAAGGGAAATTCTTTAAAGGAGCCCCAACCCAGTACTGAGTGCAGAAATTAACTTTTTTCAGAACTTTTCAACTTTTCAGATGGTCGGTATCTCTGTATTATACATTCTTTATTGTAATATTTTAAGATATGGATTTTTGATTTCCATGAACTGTAAGCCGTAATCATCAAGATTAAAATACTTTATATGTAATGAATCTAGAATGAAAGTTTCACTTGAATTATGGGGGAAAAAAACATTTCCACGATATTCTAATTTTCTAAGATCGCCCCCACCTCAAATTACTCTTCTGCAGGTTTTGCTCTGGAGGACCATTTGCTGCTTTAGCATGGACAGAAGTGTGGATGATATTAAAACTCTTGGATCATGAAGCCTAATATCACTCTACAGTTATGTGGTTTATCAGTGGAGTATCTGAAATACACTGTAGACCAACGTCTCTGTTAAAAGTGACCGACTGCGATATACTCTAGTCTCCTCTATGAAATGTCTGTATCCTCCATGATGAACTGGTCGTGGGTCAAAGGTCTCTCGCTCTTCCTCTCTGCAGATCTCATGCATTAGTTCCTGTGTTGACTGTGTGGCTGCTTTGTGTTGGTGTTCAAAGTGTTGGTGTTCTGCTAAGGTGTAAAACCTTCTCATGTTGTTATAAATTGGCTAGTTGCTAATGACTAGGCCTGAGTTATCCTGGCCATTATAATGTATATTATACAATACAATATGCGCAATATGACTTCGTTATATAGACCTTGCGTCTGCATCCCAGGGAGACCAGAGGTAGCACTTTCACTCTCTGCTTATTTCTCTGACATAATATGTTAAAATATTCTTAAAAGCAGCAAATAATTAAATGTTAAGATCCAGGCTAAATGTTTTATTTTTGCAAAAGTTTTCTAAAATTGATGATTTGAGATAAAAGTTATGTTGTGTCATTTGTGTCTGGCCCCACATTCGCTCTTGAATGTCCAGCCACACTGTGTTTTTTTAAGGCAATGATCTAATGAGGTTTGGGTAGGTGCCTGAGATAAATTTAGTGTTTTGAAAAGAAATAGCCTACAAAACACAGCCATTTAAAAATTGTATGCCCCCCCTCATGTTGCCAAAATAAAACATATTTTGAAACAATTAAAAAGTGCATTTGTATTTAGTTTTTGCAGGAATAAATAGGCCTAACACATATTCTAACCTCTTAGGTCATATGTGGCCTATGTGGTATTAGCTCCTCAAGGACAGAATTTGAAATGTTCTCAGGTGAGATACAAATTTTTACAGAAAGCAGACAAAACGGACATACCGACGGAGAGGATGGACAGTCCCACACAAATGTCAGCAGCAGGGGTGAGTTTGGAGGTGAACGCAGAGACGGTCCGGTTGTCCTCACTGGGGGTCGGAGACATTGGCTGGAGCCGCTTCGGATGCTGTTGCGGGTTAAATCCGGACATGTCTCTCAAACCACGGACGTGTGAACCAGGGATGCTGACTTTTATGCAGGCGGGGTGTGTCACCATGGTAACTTGAAGCACACGCCAATCTGCTTATTTGAAAGAACAGAGGCGCGTGTGCGATCCGATCCAGAAGGCAACAAGATTAAAAAAAGGTTAGTTAATAGCAGGCTATGCTAATTAGTCTCCCTCAGCAGGCTGTACCTTACTTCATATTGATTATTTGAATGTGCACCCTACTCAGTATTGATCCCTCAAATGACCCCTGACACCGTCAAGAGGACAATGGCAGTTTGACATTTTGCTGTCAAATCAGAAGCGTACGCAATACAACTAATGGTGGCTAAATTCCATTTAGCTGCTTTGCATGCCTGGCTCACCCACATGGTGGGTCACTTGTTATGTTAATGTTATTAGTAACACCTGATTTTTGTTTCTTCCCTAATGTGACAAGTCAACGTGTGAGCTGTGAAAACAATCTGCTATATTTAACAAGTGCATTTAAGGAAAACAACTAATAAACTAAAATAAGTTTAATGTTTGCACTTTGTTAATATTTACACAACCATGATAATTTCCTCCCTCATCCTTTATAAGTCAAAAACAATCTCACTTTCTTTATTGTTCTCAAATTAATTAGACCCACAGACCTTTTTCACACATCACATATTGACTTGTCATAGCAGGGAAAGCACAGGTGCAACATTAAGTGCAATGCAGATCAGCAAGTGATGGAGCTGTTTAGCAGGTGCCAGTTTAAATGCGCATGTGACAATCCCAATAAAAGTACAAAGCAAATAATGAGTGAACAGCAGTGCTCCACTCCCCAGAAACAATGAGCTTTAATGATTTGTCATGATTGTTTTTCAGATGTAAGTAGGATTTGTCTGCTCTTTGCTGGAATTTCTAAAGAGCATTGATTTCTATAGATTTATTAAATATCATGTGCTGTAGTCTGCTTCCTGTTTACATAACATGATTACATGAGAGGCTATGTACTACACTACACATAATGCTACAGCACAGTACAATACAGTATGGTATTGTACAACACTAAACAATATGAATTAAAGCAAACACAATCCAAAAAGCAGTAAATGTTTACTCGGCCTCTTGACTTGTCAAAGACTTTTTACCTGTTTAAATGAAGAGTAAATGAAAGAAAAAGATAAAGCAAAGCAGTTCATAAACATTATCAAATCTATGTCCTGTAAACTTTATTAAAGGATACTGAACTAAATCTAATTAAATTAAACACATACGACTTTAAGTTTACTTTATAGTAAACCTGATTATCACATGTAAATAGATAGAAATTAATATATTCAAACTGCTTCAAGGATTCTGACTGTCCTGCGATGGATTGGCGACCTGTCCAGGGTGTACCTTTTTCGCCCAATGTCAGCTGGGATTGTTATACAGCCCCCCGCGACCCTGTATGCAGGATATGTGGTTGATGATGGATGGATCGATTCTGACTTAATTTTTTTGTTGATGTAAAAGTCTGCTATGAAATTTAACTGTAGTTTATGCTGAAAATAAAGATTTTCTCAAGACATTTTCATGGGATATAGTGTTGCTGCAGGAATGTAAGAAATGTACATGATGAATGATAAATTAAAAGAAATAGAGAGAAAGATAAGACACAATTACTTTATACATACATATATAAATATAATATAATAAAAGTTTACTACTACTGTGCAATCAACCATCATGTCTGTGACTTTGGAGATATCCTGTACTCTCATGCTACACATTCCAGTGGTGGAAAGTAACTAAGTACTATAATCTCATAATGTATAAAATATGTAGCATCAGTGACAGGGGCCATTTTACTGCAGAGCAAGTAGGCTACTTTAACTTTTAAAACTTTAACAGTCTGGGATGTTACACTAATGTCAAGTCCCCATGTCTTACTTGCCTTGTCACATTAACACAAATCTTTACTGCACACACTTGTCAATATACACATCCCATCCTCGTTATTAACACGGTACAGCTCTTTTAATTTTAAAACAAATATATTTTACACATTTATTATAAATTTCCTTAATATTCAAGATCTGTGACTTGCAGTAGCCTACTTGTTTCTCTTTTCTCTGTTTATTGCGACAGTTACACACCAAAATACCAAGAGACATTCCTTGTATGTTGAAAACCTACATGGCAATAAACCTGACTCTAGCTGCAGGACTTTTACTTGTAATGGAGTACTTTTACTTAAGTTAAGAGTTCGTTTCGTCCACAACTGACTTTGCACCATATAATCCAATGAACTTTTAAATCTCATCCCACTGGATGAACTTGATTCTGATGCTCTGTGTGTAACTGGCTGTGTTTAGTTGTTCTTATTTACCCTGCTGTATCTTTCTCTCAACATGACTGCACCATCTGCTGACCTCCATGATGTACTACAGCTCAAAAAAAAGACAATGGTGCTGTGAGTAGAAAGATAAAGACTTTATTTGATGGTGAAACCTAAATAAGATCTGCGATTACAAAACAGGTTCCCCCACGCAGTTTTTAAACGTCACAGAGGTCGGAATGCTGTACAGACAGAAAGGCATCAGAAGAGTCTGGACCTAAAAATATGAAATCAAAAGTAAGAGAGCAGGGTTCAGAGGGAACACCATTCAATTTTAAAAACGCAACACGTTGTTCCTATGATCTATGGCAGTCAGATGAACACATTTATCAACCCCCAGCCTCAGACACTGGAAAATAAAAGCAAATGTACGGTTGTAATGAAGTCTGAAGATGCAGGGAGTGAACAGGCATTGATGGTCAAGATTACTTGTAAAAACAGTCCTGTGGGATTTTCTGGTGTTAAGCGTAAATTTTCTTGATATCACTACTTCATAATGAACTTTGTTTGGATATAAAAAAAACCAATACACAAAATCAGCCCCATGTGTATTGTAAAACACCAGATCAGTGGAAAGACAAATCTTTGTTTGACAACCATTTATGTTCCCAAGCACTGACTGCACTTTCATAGACCACAGAAACAATATACTGTACATAAAATCTTAAATTGAGTGGCATTTCCCTTTAAGTAGCCTCGAAACTAACATATACACATATACGCACTCAACAAATATACACTCAAGCACATCCTGTATCCCATCAGAATCCTCTGCACGATGAAACATTCAGAAATATTTGCCTTAAATACTCCAAAAAATATAGTACTGTGGGTCTTTTTATTTCTTAAATCCATTTGTTTTAAAGGAATAGCTCGACATTTGGGGAAAAACCATCCTTCTTGCCAAGAGTTTGATGAGAAGATTGATACCACACTCATGTCTATATTGGCAAATATGAACTACAGCCATAAGCTGGTTAGTGTAGCTTAGCATAAAGACTGGAAACAGCTAGCCTGGCTCTGTCCAAAGGTGACAAAAAGCACCAACCAGCAGCTCTCAAGCTATTTCAACACTTTATATTTCATTTGTCTGATCGGTACAAACAGCCAAGTGTAAAAACTTTCAGAAAAGAAAAAAAATTCAGAAAGTGTGCAAACGGTCCTTTTAACACTTTGGTTTTTGTATGGATCAAACAAACAAGATAAAACATTTTAATTAGCTCGTCAAGGACAGAATTTAAAATGTGTTTTAGAAGTGTTGATGGCTGGATTTAGACCAAAAGCATCTTTGTGCTAAAAAACCCCCAAAAAAACCAAAACAAAACACAACGGGGTGCTTTGGTATTGGTGTTGTTTAAGGTACCAATGACACAATGTAATACGATTCAGGAAGTAACAGTAACAGAAGTAGCAGATGAATGCATTCAAGATGCCAAAACAATGCACAACGGTTTGTAATAGCCTGACAGGATTTTGCAACTCTGGAAAGTAAAATAAAAACTCTATTATCTTTGGTCACGACGTCCGCAAAGTCAAAAGAAGGCGTATATGTTACAAAGTAATCTACCAGGAATGTATGCTTGTATGCATGTGACTGGCCAACGTAGCTCCTCGCTGTATGACTCACTTTGCACCAAAAGTTGAGCCTGGTTTAAGTTTCCAATAAATGAGGGCTGTGTTTATCTCATGCAGGGCTCAAGTCGGTCTGACTTTAGAGAGAGCTGGCTGGGTCCCCCTGTTTTCAGTCTCTGTGCTTAGCTAAGCTAACTGGCTACAAGCTGTAGCTTCATCATTATAGTACAAACATGACAGTGATTTCATGTCATCGAACTCTTGAACCATTCCTTTAATTCCAGTCAGGCTGAAAAACATTTCAAAGCCCTGTCTCAATACTTTAGTGTAAATAATCTTACAAATGCAGGTGTTGTGTTACAACTATTAACCTCACGTTTTCACCTAGAAAAAAAACAAACAAAAAAAAAACATTTACCAACACCAAAAATAATCTACAAATATGACATCTACCCCAATAGTGAACATGTTTTAACTTCATAGTCCCAACTAGAGTCACTTAGAGAGATATAAATCCATATCTGAGATTATTTGTTTTTAGGATTTATAATTTTTTGGCCATTCACCTCCCATTCTCTCATCTCTAATGGGAGACAACTGTCCTCCGGCTTCTTCTGCTCCTGATAACAGCCCTTGTCTATACAATAATGGACACCAAATGTCTAATTATGAATCTGGTCCCATCTGCCCCAAATACTCCCAAAGTCTGCAGTTCCCTTCTTCCTTAAGGTGTGCACCCAAATGTTGGCAGCAACAAGGAAAAAGCACATTAAAAAATAGACATCTTTAAATAGCTATTCAGCTTGTCTAAGTGCAGCACAACTGGAAACATTAAATTCAAGTCATTATTACTTTCTTCCCTCCCCAGTATCACACAATGAATATAGCAAAAAAAAATCATTTTCAGTTAAGAAACTACATGTGAAAGGATACATCTTTGATCAGACAAATAAACAATATACTGCAGCCACACTGTAACATCCAAAAATAGTCTTAAGTTGAAATATATAATTTTTTTCTGCCAAAGAAATGCTGGCGTTCTAAGTCACTCTAAGCAGATTTGTTATACTGTTGAGGTGCAATTTGTGTTTTTCCGTCTCCGTTAATCCTCTACTGACAGTCCTGAACACGATGTCAAACCATTATGGAATAAAAAACTGACATCCGGTGTCATTTGGCACATGGGGTGCTCTCACTGGCTGCCACGCTGACGTCTGGCTCTTTGTTGTCTGTGGTGACGACAGCAGCATCAACGCTCTTGTCCTGGTTGTCATTGTTATTACTACTATTGTTGTTGTTGTTGTTGTTGTTGTTGTTCTGGACACTCGGGAGCCTGTGGCTGTTGTTCTGGACCAGAGTGGCGTTGCTGAGTCGCAACTCCTCCAGCTGCTTCCACAGCTCGTCCCTCTCCTGCTCCTTCTTCTTCTCCCTGGGAAGACAACATTTTAATACTTATTTTTTTGGTAAAAAGATAACAAGCAGAAACAAAAATATAATCGGTAAATGCCAGCAATTCTGTCCTAATTAAGGGTGCAGTATCTTCTACAAACAGGCAACTCCGAAGTAAGAGCAGACTACACATCTCTCCGAAGAGATTTTCAAAAAGGGGCCCACAGTCAGAACTGATACACCGCTGATTAAAATGGTGGAAAAGAGCAGCAATATGATAATAATCATTAATAAAACATTCTGTAGCCAATTGGGTTATAAATAGACTCAATTTCAACTCAATTTTATTTCTGTGAACACTAATATTTTCTCCTGCTGTGATAATAACGTATCATGTATACCAGACTTCTGTAAACCCATAAAACAGATTTCTAACCTCAGACGGCCAAATGAAAAACCAAGGAGTCTGTACTCATAACCAAACTGCGAGGCACCATCAACTAGAAGCAACTGATCAACCTTAGCTAGGATTTCCTCCTTCAAACTGCAGTTCTCAACCTCGGGGCCGTAAAGCCATGGCATGACCCACAAATGTTATCTCACAAGTAGAGCGTCAGAGTAGAAAACACACCCGGGGAGAATGTTTGAACATTTTCACAGATAATAAAGTATACGACCTTTTGTCCTTCACCACAGTTACCACAGTGATCATTTCTTTAAACATGAAATTATTTATATGCAGAGCCTACATTCAAAATGTGGTACAGGGTAAAGTGTACGATGCAAGCAGTGCGTAAACCTTTTACAAAACCAAAACGAAAGCTGGAAACATCCTTTGGGAGGACCATGAACCTGGCTTTACCGGTCACCTTGTACTAAATACCACCAGAGCATTCAGTTCTTGGTGTTCAGGACACAGATTGTATTTAAAAGAGAGAAACACATTTAAAAAGACAATAAAACAGATTAAAATCTTGTAGCTTGGAAAGCCAGGTCCCATTGGATGCTTGGTGGCGATTTATTTCTGTGTCTGATTGGTCAAAAGAACCTTTTCACCCAAATCTACAGTAGCTTATTTGTATTCAGACCCCCTCCACTTGTTACACATATTGGGTTATCGGTTTAACTTAAAATGATGAAAATATATTTTTTTGCCAATTAATTCATACATAATTACCTAGAATGATAAAAGAAAGACAACGAAATCTACATTTACATATCCAGGGTTTAAAACTCTCTGTGATGGCACTCCAAATGGAGCTGAGGTGCTGATTATCCTTGAGATATATCTCAAACTTGATTGGAGTCCACTTTGGTAGCAAATTCAAATTATTGCACATGATTTAGAAAGGCACGCACCTGTTTATATAATATATTTAAAGTAATATATATAAAACCTCTTCTATCTATTAAACCACTGGCTGGTTAAAAAAAACAAAAACACAGTTTTGTGTCCTGAGGAGCAGGATTGAGAGATGGTGCATTGATTTATTCTCTCTTGGGACAAGTTAATATTTTTTGTTTGTTTCTTTGAGTGTACGTGACAAACTGTTTTTTGTAACATCAGGGACAGTTACTGAAATTGGCCCAGTGAGAGTGTTCAGGTCTTATTTTACGGTCTATGTTTCATATTCTGGAAGTGTCCTTTACTCACCGCTGCCTGTCTGCTTTATAGGAGGAAGTCAACTCGTCAAACAGCGTGCAGTTCATCTCCATCAACGTCTTCAGCACATTGTAGACCAGAGCGACGATTGTCCTGCAACACAGCAGAGACACTGGCATCAGTAACACAACTGGGAAACATAACGCACAACACTCGAGCTGCAGTGTTCATTTAGTGGAAGAACGGGGTGGCAATGGAGCAGAGGACACATGCCTTTGGTGTGAGAGACCTGGGTTCAATTCCCCACTGTGACACATCCACCAATGTGTCCCTGAGCAAGACACTTAACCCCTAGTTGCTCCAGTGTGACCTGACATATACAGCAATTGTAAGTTGCTTTGGATAAAAGCGTCTCCTAAACGATAAATGTAATGTAATTAAACCTAAATTATCCCTCAGTAAAAAATCCTTAAATTTAAAAAACGGTCAGCAGTTTTCATGAGGGATATTGGAAATATTCCAATAAATACTATTAACAGAGCGTTCTGTGGGCTATCCAGCGTTAAGACGACATTCATGCACATCTCAAAACCTGGGCTTATTAAAGATATACTATATATAGACTAGATATACTGCCACGGTTAGGTGGGATTTTTAAAATTTTATTTGTAATTTAAGTGAATTAACTATTGAAATATGATTACTACGACCACACATAACGTAAACTTCTCTATTAATAAAACCAGCGTACAAAAATCTGAAACATTTGAACGGCATCCAGCTACAACCACCAATCCAGGGGTTGCGATCGGGCCCACCTCTGCTTCAAAAAGCCTGTCCTCCTGCAGCTCAGGGCAGTTTCTCACTCCCATGGCGAAGTTTGCCTCGGTGCCACCTGTTGTGTATCAGTAAGCGAGTGTGTTTTTTCTTTTAGCTTCTGCTCAATTCGGAAAACTCAAGTGTGTGTGGTCTCAGTAGAGAACTAGTGGCTTGTTTTGTATATGGTTCATCTAGAGAATTTTGGGCAAGGGATTAGTTTCAATACTGACACTGCTCTAACTCACGTAGTGTGTTCATGTTAAGATTCATTAGGTTCAGGGGTGCTGCGCTCCCTGTGTTTGGTTTTGTTCTTATTTAGACAGAAAGGTCTTATTTTGACTTCTATTCTTGTTGCCCTGTAGTTAATCCCTCGTTTAGGAGGGATCTCTTTTGGTTATAGTTTTCATTTGTTTACGCAGCACCCACTAGCCCATTTTACATCTGTAGATTTTGTTGAAACTCTCTCCTGAAAAATAAACAACTTCCTTTTACTGAGAACAACTGGTTTATGTCTATGTTTCTTTCCCTTACACGAGCTGAGAAGTAACAAAAGTCATGTAATAACCAATATATTAAACATACTGCAACTATTCTACTGTATTAGGTTATTTCATGAAATATAAGTTTGATACATTTGTTGGAAAATGTTACACTTTTTCTGGAGAACAATGATTTAGATCTTTACTAACTTCATGCAGAGTAGCTGACACTTTAGAAGGAACTGGAAGATCTGTAATTAAAGATGTGCTGCGTATATTTTTCTTCTCTGCTTTACTCTGTTGAGTCTAATGATTTATCATTATTATGGTTTTTATTCTTGTTTTCTTCATTCATCTCAAGGTCCTGCTTGTGCCTTGATAACTTCCTGTGAAAGTGTGTTTAAAAAACAAAATCATTCTGTAGCTATGCAAACATTGTCATTAAATAAACTGCCAAAAGCTAATTACTTTATGTCAACATGCAGCACTTATCAAATGATACATTAATATGAATTGTAAGTATGTAGAGATCTATATTACGTTTATGTCCGGGCACAATGGTAACAACGTGTGAGACATTGTGTTATCGTGGTGGCGCCTGTTTGTCTGTCTGTACTGTGTACGTGTAAACACAATATGAACAGCAGCCCATGACGGCAGCTTCATACAAACACAGCAGATTTTCTGTGCATGGATGTTTGTGAACCATATATAGAATCCAAGCTCAACAGGTCAGCTGATGATTCACAAATGTGGTTGAAAGCATTAATCATTAAGAGCTCCTTTTAGCTCTGATTAATAACACGACAGGTTTTCTTTATAAAGCAGAGGATCTGAATAACTCTTGAGTTCCCATGGTAATTTAGCTTAGCACGTGTTACTGTGTGGGAAGGATTGTTTAGTTAGACAGCTTGGCTGTGAGGGCCTTCTCCAGACTGATTTACTTACGGATTCCAGTGCTCTTTGGAGATTCTGTACAGGCTACCGAACATGATTGGAAGAACCTTGTCAATGTTCTCCTCGATGAGGCTGAGAATGTACTCGTTATTCCAAAAGTACAGCGCTCGCTCTGCTACCTGTGAGGACAGAGACAGAAAGACCGCAGTCAAAAAGAATAATCCCATCATGAGGCTGACTGAGTGGGGCTGCCTTTGATTTTCCGCCGAATTAACTTCAATCATGAAAAGATTCAGATGAAAGAGAACAAAAAGCCCCTTTCAGAGATGCACTTTGCTGCATAAATGTGATGGCAATTTCACATGCCACATGTCACGTCTGAAAATCCTTTGCATTAAGAAAATATATTCAGTTGTCAGTTTTAGGTACCCCTAGCCCCTGTAATAAATTCTGACTTCATGAAGGTTATAATGCTCAGTTTTTAGAGAGGTGTTGATTTAACTTTATGGTCGTTTTGGAGACTGCATTTTGTGGCTCTGCTGACGTGTATTGTATTATGATACACTGATGATTGACGAGTATTATTAAGGGTTCTACAGAAAAATATTCTAAAATCAATCTCTGAAACAGGTTGTGACAAAAAAGAAAGAAAGTGGCTCTTTCTATAAATGTCCTGTCTGAATAATAATGAACATTTACCTAACAGACATATAGGGAACACTATTTAGCATTTATAAGCAGTATACGAAGTATACGATTTAACATAGTACACTTGTTAAATGTTGTAGTTGTACACTCATCTAAAGACATTTTTATGTGTTTTTGAAAATACCGTATTTGTCAACCAGTCTTCTGTGAAGACATATTTGTCATTATTACACCTCTGTTTTACTATATTATCAATTATATCTGTTCTCAACCAGCCCACAACTTATGGATGTCCACAAGAGGAGTTGTGGACAAATGCATTAAGAAACACAGTTTCATGTACTTGCAACTACATTGTTGTGCGTTATAAACCATTTATTAAATGCCTATATAGCGCTTATGAATGCTGAATAAGGACTTTGAGTAAAGTGAATAACAAAACACCATAACTTTAACGACTTCACGAAGCATCAATGATATTCATGTCTAAAGAAAGCTATGGGCAAAAGTTGTCTGTATGTTTCTGTAGGTTTGTGTCATAAGCGTACCTGAAAGTGTGGATTGGCAACACATTTAGAGATCTGCTTGAACAGTGGCTCCTGGATTTTCTTGAATTGCGTTGGCTCAATGACATCCAGAATCTCCTCTATTTCACCCAGGAACATCACCTAATTAGACGGGAGGTGCACAACATGAAGCAACATTAAGATCTGTCTGACGACTGTGATAAGTGTCAACGTGTACTGACATATAGACATGCAGAATTACCTCTTTCTGGCTGCAGGTTTTAGGCCAAAACTTCAGCAGCCCACGGATCACCTGCAAGGAAAACAGAATTCTTGAGAATTTATCTCTAATGTCAAAAAAAAGAAAAGACTTCAACAGTCAGTTTGAGTGGGTGGTTGCTAGCACTCACTAGAAATGTCTCAGTGTGCAATGTAGACTATTTTAGTACTTGTGCTTTGAGTGGGTGGAAAGTTAAAAAAAAAGTACCGGTTCAGTGAGTGTAGGATCCTTCTCCAGGAACTGAACCACACAGTAGGCCAGCTGAGGGACACAAAAGACAAACAGTAAATGTCCCCAAAAACTGCATCAGACAAAGGATGCGTTATGCAGAACCTCATCTGAAAAGGCATCTCTTGTTTAATGTGTATTTGCGCTGATTTGCTATGATCAGTGTGATTATCATTATAAATTTATTCTTTTCCCACTTGAAGTTTGAAGATACACTGAAACACACCAATAACCACTGAACCAGAGCATTTCCACTTCGACACCACCAGGAGATGCTATAGTACAGAGATTACATAACGAAGACAATCCTCAACATAAGCTGTATAGTTTAGCTATACACTACTTCAAATATTTTTTGCTCAGTTATACATGCAAGTTATAACAAAATAACAGAATTAACAGCAAAGACAGTTTATCCTACCTGTGCATGAAAGAGGGACAATGCTTTAGCGGTGTGTAACGGGATGAGCACCTTCATAAGGAACTGTTTGTGTTCTGCCTTCAGAGGCAACGCAAACCCATTGATGATACTGTGAAGAGAAAAACAACAGAACATTGTTGATAGATTCCTGTACAGAAAGACAAAAGAGCAGCACAGACTGAATACTACAAGATCAGATCAGGGCATGGGTGTGTATATATTTGGTTCCTGAAGCAGAAAAGAAATATAGAGAGAATTCATTGCAATGGTAGCATCAAAATGACAGAAGAGAAGGAGCCTGAGGAGCCTTTTAGTTTCGGACTGCAAGAGAGCACAAGTCCTCCACGTGATTGGACACACACATTCTCCACAAGCCGGTTTAAAACCTGGACTGTGTGCAGTAAAGCTATGAGGGAATAAAGACCAGGTTTCTATGATACTGAGGATTATATTATATTATATATATATATATATATTTTTTTGTTATTCTTTCCATCTTTCCTTGAGAGTGATGTTGTCAGTGTTACCTAATGTCAAAACAAATAATTGGAATAAAGGGCAGCAAGTACCCGAAGCCAATGGCTGAAAGTGCATTCAGTATTTTACACCCTACTGTGTTTCCCATCAACTGAACTTTTTATCAAGAAATCTCTAAGCTTTGTTTACACACACAGTATTTAAAGTCAAAAGGATGTTATGGTGGTTGTTCTGCACAATGTCCACATGATGTCACATGACCAAACGTTATTACTCACCTTCCTAGGATTTCTAGTAACTCAGCAACTCCATTGAAGTGCTCAGTTTCATAGATGAACCTGCAACAGCAGCAGAAATTCTTATTATCATTATGAAACACATGAACCCAAAAACACATCACAACTCTAAAAACACGGCATCAAATTGATTCACAGCTCCCAATACTGTGTTCTTTTTAAATATCATCACACTGATTTAGGAGTTTATAATTAAAATTTCAATGGTGTCCCATGATCATTATCATGCAGAGTCAGACCATAAAGCTAGGATTTAATATTCTTTATATAAAGTTTTATATGAATATCGGGCTTTCTGCAGATAAGTAGAGCCTACAGAAATCTTATCTTATATCTTTGGTCAAAAGACTGAAATATAGCTGGAGACGTTAAATTGACTCCTCGTATATATAACTTGATGATCCATACATCATTCATCTCTTCTGTTTGGTAACCCACTTCCTTGTAGCTGTGCACCCATGGTATGTACAGACAGAGCCTGACAACTGTGGCACTATTTTTATTCTCAGTGACAGATGGTCAAAGTACGTGCACCCGTTTTGCCACCTTGCCTGTTGGAAACGACATCAAGTGTCCCCCTGTTTCAATCATCTAAAGCCCGCTGTCCCGCAGCAACAGGAGCCGTAAAAGAATCGACACATTGCAGCTGAGAATATTTGATGCCTCCGTCCAAACATTTTTCCTCTTTACTGAAAACCAAGACCATAAACTCCACACTGGACATTACTGTTAACAGAGTTAATGGAACATATTTTTCGTATGTTTAGGGGAATCAGATAAGCCATGCCTTGAATGTCTCAATGTAAAGGCGCACACACACACACACTCTGTTTATCCCTCTCTCTTCTTTTTGTACTAGTCATAAAGGCAACATCATAACTTTTTAAATAAAGTTAATATTAGGACAAATAATGAGTTTCAGTATTAAGTGGCACCCAGTAGTTCCCTGTTTTTAAGAATGAAGCGGTATACAAGTTGAAGCATCTTTTTTCAGTCCTTTTTCCTCTACAAAATAAACATCTTAATAAAAAAGTCCTAATTTGTGTATGATTCAAGTGAACAAAATTAAACATTTATTGAACATCTGTTTTATTGTTTATGAAAAAAATTATATTGCGATAATTATTGTTATTTTTTTTATTGGCCAGCCCTACTACAACCCCTGCAAAAACAACTTTTTGGCACCTGGAACTATTGTACTGGTTGTACTAAAGTTCCGGTGGTGCAAACGCCATATAGGACTCTTGGTTCCTTCCTTAAAGTATTTTATTCTCAGATATGGAGGCAATTGCTCCAAAGCACTGTTCCAACAGGTCAAAAATACTACATGCTGATGACATGTAAAAATAAATAAAAGGAAACAGGTGTTGGGATCTAAAGATTGTTACTATCATTAGAACGGTTGCATTGGCTTTACTGAAAGCAGCAGGCCCATCAAGATTACAAATATTGTATGTAATGAACATTACATACATGCGCTTTTGAAAACTGTATCAGCCTGTTTTGCCTGTGTTTGTGCAACTTATTGCTGTAACAATGTCTTGATGCTGCCTTACTTGGCCAAGTCTCTCTGGACATTTCACTCACAATGAAACTTTTTCCTGGTTAAAGAAATAAAACAAAAGAAAAAGAAACACCGACTACGTGATAGGACATGATGCATGTTTTCCTGTTTCTGTTCTTAGGCTGCCTTTTGAACCTTTCACTCACCGCAAGAAAATGTTGTTGATCTGCTTCCTGATGAAGGCCCGCAACCCCAGAAACTTTCCATAAATCCGATGCAGGATGGTCTTGAGGAAGTCCCTCTCCCTCGGGTCCTCACTGTCGAACAGCTCCAGCAGCTGACAGGACAGACAGAGAACAAGACAAACACACTCTTGCCTCAGTTTTCAGTCCTGATTCATTTTAAAGATACAATACTATTTTTATGATGTCTCCATTAGGGCTGTCCCGAATGTCAGTTTCATTTTATTTAGTTTCTATTGAGGTTTTCAATGAAGCTTCCAAAACAAAATCCTCAATTTGAATGAAGTGATTCATTGGATTTAATGAGTCATGTCTTTTTTGATTAAAATAACTTTCTTCATTGACTATGACTTTATTGACTTTTATCAATTTAAGTAGAAATAGGCAGCAGCAACATCACAACAGTCTAGTGCAGAAGTTTGACGCAACCGACACTCACTCGTCACGCAAACGACGGGGGCTATAACCTAGGTAACAATGTCACAAACTACCAGAGCCGAAATTTTTTTGTTATGGTGGTTATATTCATTTAGGTTTATGGTACTGTTAGAAATAATCCTGTGCAACCACCATATTATTCTATAAATATTATCAATATTAAATAACATTTGTGTAGTCTAAACATTATCTGCTATACCACAGAAATACTGTGTTACAGAATAAATAGACATGCAAAACCAAAATAAAGGCTGCACGGCATTTCAATGTTGTGTCAAATGTTGCATTATGAATGAAGCTTCAAACTAATTGGTACAGACCTAGACTCGCACACTGTACCTATATTGTGATTAATTTTTGCCACTAAAGTGAAGAGAATGAACATTAAGACAAAATCTATCTTTGTATTCATTTTAAATTTTTTTTACCATCATGCATTACGAGACAACTCATTCAATATGTGGCCCTTGCAATGTGATGTTTGACCATTTTCCTTGAGGCTTAATAAGCCTTCCTTCTAAAACACTGCAGGTTTCTCTGATATTGATACTGAAATACTGCAGTTGGGTTGTGATTAGTTGTTGTGAAATTAGTATATGTCGCCCCCTGTAGGCTTACAAGCAAACTAGGGAGGCCTTTTCTACTAAGCCTAACAAACGTATTGTGCTCGCTGTAAGGCAATAATTTGGGCAAATAATATAAATAGCTAAGTCATATCTTACCAGCTACCAACATCTTATATAACAAATATACAGTACGTGTGCCTGAATGCTCCGTATTGTAAACAGATGTCAAATCTCTGACATTTAACAGCTATTTCCAGCAATATATGATGATTCATTATTACAATATTGTTGAGGGCCGCCAAGCCAACGGCACCGAGTTGAAAAGGAATGTTTTCAGGCTCAGCTCAGCTTCAGCATGGTTTTTATCTTCTACTAGTCTGCCATCAGCAACTCAGTGACAGGTGTCTATTTTTAAACCTACTTATTTCCAGGAAATGGTTCATCATGGACACATTGTTCTCCTGTACTGCACTGATTCAAAATTCATTCAGCCACAAATATTAAACCCTGGGAGTTCAATGGTGGAACCAGTCTGTGTTGCAACTGAACTGCGGTTACGTAGCAAATGGAGGTTTGCTCAAGGGCATCACAGTCCCCACGTTTCAAATGTTGCCAATTCCCGTTCACCTACTATCTCCTTCCATAGGTTACTTGTATCTAAAGCCAAACCACTATTACTGTAGCTTACTGCAGATATATATCAGTATTGGTGTATGTCAGCCGATTAATTATTAAGTATTTGGAGTACAGACATGCAAACGATATGATTTGAAACAGTGTCACCCCTGTGTAGTTTGCCAACCAGAGAGCAGTGACAAGTTTATTTTTCACCTGTAAAATGTCCTAGCCACATTTCTAGGTTGCAATGGTACAAAAAAAAACTTAAGGGAACCTTATCAAAAATGTCTTTGTTATGGGATGTGTCAAGAAAATGAATATTGGCCGATATATCATTATTATTAACTGTTTATAATGCGATGTTTGAATGTCTTGTCTGTCTTTGGCCCCCAGGAAGTTACTGCAGTAACAATTAAAGGGGATCCTAAATAATAATAAAAATTTCAAAAAAATAAATATTTTTTAACACTATAGTTGTATTTTCATCCATTCTTCTCATATCACTGGAATGATGTTGGTACTAGTTAAGATATATTTAAAAAGCCCAAAATCACAATTTACAAATTTTTATCAAAGGGATTTACAATCTGTACAGAATATCCTCTATACCCTTGATTTGGATTAAAATTATTTAATTAGGGCTGTAACGGTTCTGAAACCAAGACCGAAATCGCAACACAAAAGTCCATGGTCTTGTGTCACGGATCTGAGAGACTGAACTGTGACACACCCGCTCCCCTGACTGTTGAGCTCTCTCTCTCTCTCTCTCTCTCTCGCTGGGTGGGCTCAGTAGCGGTGTATATATATCGTATTTGTTGAGCTTGCCATTTTGTAGGGCTGTCCAAATGTATAGTGATAATTATTATACCCTATATAGTCCACTCAATGTATCCCAGAATGCATTTTGAAAAGTAGCGTACAACCAATGGTCACTAACAAGCCCTACATACCATCATGCATTGTGCCGACAGAAAAAACAGTCCACCTACTGGTTTGTCTGACGGCAATGACGCAATTAACAGCGACAAAATAATGACGGAAGTGGTGTCCGAAAGTGTTGTTTTAATTATGCGGGTGAGCTCACAATATAGTCCTCTACATACAACTCCCTACATAGGGAGTAGTGAATGAGTGGTGATTTCGGACACAGCCACTGTCTTTATTATGTAAGAAAGCTGCCAGAACATAATTCAGACATAGGGGTGTGCGCCTGAGGGAAAGTCAATACTCCATCACAACATGTCCCTCTAGGATTTGAGTTTTCTCAGGAGCCTGACCAGCACATAACCCTGAATAACCCAGAGCCTCTGTATGATATATACCCTGAGTACAAAAAAATTTTTATTACTACGCTACATGTTCAGTCTATCTGTAGTTAGACACAAGGCACGATCATGAAGGCAATTTGTTGCCAGAAGGTCCATTGAAGTATTCAGGAAACATCAAGAACAAATAAATATCAAGGACAGCACAGTTCTCCTCCATTGTTGACAAAACACATTCTTGGAATTCGTATTCACTCATGTCTATCTCATCAAAAAAAAAAAAAATAATTCTATTAGCAATTCTCTTAGACAAGCTTAAGACAGAGCAACAAGCGTATAAACATAAAGGGATAAATATGAGCATAAAATCCAGAAGCATTTCTGTTACTGTGCACCGAAACATTAAACTGAGACTAATGAAATTATTTCGGAATCAGGTGTGGATTGAAAGGCATCAAACTATCATTATGATCTTAACTCTAGCACTTTGAGATTTGTTTCAAATGTAAAGTGCATTACAAATAAAATGTATTATTATAATTATTATTATTATAATATCCTTTTTTTAAAAACTCAAAATTTTGATATGTAACAAAATAACCCCAAAAAACCCAGATCCCTCATGCCAAAAACACACAGACTCCACTCTGACATTTTACCAGTGATCTCGGACATAAAAAGCCTAAAATACACCCTGACCATGTGTATGATCACATGTTCTGCTCTGAGCTCCACATAAGGTCGTTTTCTCATGTCGAAGGCAGTTTTCTGTAGTGGCTCTGCTCTGCACTAGTTGATGCAGTAGCACCAGAGCTGCGCTAGTTTTAAAGCTCTGTCTTCAAGGACCAAAATATACTATTAAATGGGGAGCAGGGTGGAAAACCAGTGGACTATCATATGTTTCTACAGTTTCTACTACTTATTTCTATAATCTTGTAGGACAAGTCTCATTGACCTCTTCACTGCATCCTGGAGATAATTCTGCCAGGTGTGTCCCCTCTACATGCCAACAGTAAGCTTACTTGTGTACTTCTTGTTACTTAAAATAGATATATATCTTTAAATAATGCTTGAAATAGACAAACAGAAGCACTTTAACAAGTACACATGTACAAATATCAAATAATAATGAGCAAGGTCACTCCAGGGTTTGTCTCAGAACCTCAAAAACATAACTACCTAAAATGCATTGACACAAAATCTAAAAAAAAAAAAAAGTATGGTTCACCCAGATTGCCCTAACAAGGATTCCCTCTTTGTTGCTTATAGATGCCACAGTACCTCATCTTTTTGATGCAACAACAAAACAAACTGTTCCCACCCTGTCAAAATGCCCTTGAGCAAACCACTGAACCTCTGCCTTAAAGACCTAATCTTATGCTGTGTGTATTGTGATAACTGAAATAGACCAAACCACGGGCCATTTTTCCTCCCTTGCCTTTATTGCCACCCAAACTTCCACCTCCAGACCCTTCTCTTCTCTCAACCTGAAGAGAAACCCACAGCCAGCTATTTAAAGATCCCACACGACACACTTGCATCATGGAAAGTCGGTCCAGGAACCTCGGATGTGGCCCAGCCAACATTCCAGGCCCTGTGGTTGCCCTGTTAGCTGCTGCTTCGCTCTGCAGCTTCACACAAGAAGTGAAGCATTCCTGCAGTAAGTGGGTACTGAGCCAGAACAGATGTAGCTGAGCTACAGCTGGATGAATCATCCAACTAATCATACTGTTGTCGGGTTGCTGAACCCCCAAAACACATAATGTGCTGGTAATTACTGTTATAGTATTCAATTTCTAACCACCTCTAACAGCTGATGGGAAGTGCAACGATTAATCAATTAATAATTGAAGTAATTTTCCAATCAAAATGGCAAAAACTCAAAGGCTGCCACTTCTTAAATGTGAATATTTGCTGGTTTTCTTTCCCTTGTTGGTCATAGAAACAAAACATTTAAAGATATCACTATGGACTGAAGAAAACTTGCAATTTGCTGACATTTTTTGAACAAAACAACCTATTATTAGGGAAATAATCTGTAGTTGCAGCTCTGGAGGAGTCTCACAACAGCCAACTAGTAGTCTTCTCTAACATGGACTAATTACTGAAATGACAAAAATAATCTTTATGCATCATTATGTATTATAATATTTGGTGGACACGGTGCAGTGTGTCCTCCTACTGTCTTCTTAACTGTCAGTGCTCTGACCAGAGGTTTCAGGTATGCATTGATGCATGGGAAGTTACACAAACTACTGATGACAGTGTATTCCCGATGTGATCTAATAAGAAAATGCCTATATTATAAGAAAGCTAGATTAATGTAACCGACAGTCTTAGTTTAATAAGGTAGGTTAACTTTGAACCTGTTGATCATTATCAGTCAAGTTTCCTACCTGCAGAACAAATTTCTGATCAATGTAGCGCTTTGCAATGCTGGGCTGGAAGTCTGGATTCTCTAGAAAGCGTAGGAGAAACTCGTAGACCAGCTGGAAGATAAAGGAAAATTTAAAAATAAATAGAAATATGCGCCTTGTAACCACTACAACACACAATGATGTAATCTAAAGGAGTGATAATACAGATAGGCTGAAGTATCGGATCCTTACTTGAACATGAGGCCAGGAAGCCTCTAGAGTGGGTTCATCCTCCTCTGGGTCAAAATCAGGGTTATCACTTGGTGGAAGAGTCCGGAATATATTGGTGCAGATCTGGAGGGGGAGGGAAAGTCTTATTAACAAGTCAACATCCCAGGAGTGCGTGAGAGGAGACACAGCAGGAAAATACATGGCTATTCACAGATAATCTACAAGTGAGCTTTTACTTAAACATGCAGAGACGTAGAGCGCTGAAATGTGATTGTTCAAAAAAAAAAAAAAAAAAAGAGAGAGAAAGAGAAAACTGTTAATGGAAAAAAACATTTTAATTTCTGTGACAGACTGCTGGGACTATTGCATTCTGATGAAGCACATTGGTCAGTTTCACCAAACTGTCTTTGGTTTACACACACACACACACACACACACACACACACACACACACACACGTCTAATAAAATAAGCTCCTTGAAGCATTATTCAAAAACTGCTAAAGCAACAAATTTGGTTTAAGTTAATTTGCCTATGCGCCAAACAACTAAAACTGAGTTTGTACCTGAAGCAAGGCAACAAAATGTAAGGCCAGTTTTGTTGTGAGATAAGCAGCTGCTACAGGTTCCCACAGATTAAATAAATGTGGGCGGGAAAGGAAAATTTGATTACAAGCAGTTACAAGCGAAGCAAGCCGTGACCTGCAATCCCATCTCAACTTGCTCAACACACAATCTGGACACAAAATTAAGTCACTGTTCTGAATTCTCCAGAACTGGTGGTGCAACCCAAGAGGAATCTAATACTAGCATGCATGCATGAACATCACCAGCAGCTTGCTAATTGGAGTGGAAAGCAACTATTTTCTAATTTAACTGAGGATGTTTTATAGCACGACCAAAACACAGAGGGGCTGGATAAAAACCATTACAGACTGTGCATCTGCCACAACCCCCTATTAAAATTCTGTACCGAAGACAATCACTGTAGACAGGTCACCGCCACCTCTATCCCACCTTGTTATTTTTAGCAAGGGTACATTTGAGAGTGACACACATTGCAGCAGGGAGCTGGAAAAGCTGGCATTATGTGACTGGGTGCACAATCTCATGCTGAAGTGATAAAGACAACATCAAATTACTTATTGGCAGCTGGAAAATCCAAATGACACTAATGGGAGAGGAAGGTGGCACAGGAATTTTAAACCTTGACAGTGGCCCAAAATTTGACAGGCGGAAAAACCTACAGAAAAACTTGCCAGCAGACATACCATGGATGGAAATGGTAAAAACAAAGCATGGACACTGAGCTAATGAATCAGAGAATGAATTTGTTACTTTCGGCTACATTATAATTAATGTAAATGATGCCAAAATTACAGAGTATAGTTATAAAGTAGTTCCCAAACTTTTTGGAATTGTGACCCCTTAAAACAAAGCTATGTCTGTGTTATTTTCCGTGAGCATCAATTTGCCGGCTCGCTGCGCTGTATGAAAGGTACAGAGCCTCTGAGACGGGAACGTTTGTAGTTTCTGAGACTGAACGATGTCTGTGTGAAAAGCCTCAGCCGGCATGACGGTGTTGTTTTACAAGTAACGGTATTTTTCTACGCCGCTGGTTCCAGAAAAAAACCGGATCTCTATGTGAAAGCACACATGGTTGCAGAATTACACTGAACAAAATTATAAACAAAACACTTTTGTTGTTGCCCTCATGTGTGCCTTAGGCTGGCCACAGTAAAAGGCCACTCGAAAATGTGCACTTTCACTGTATTGAGGGGTTCCGGAAACCAGTCAGTATCTGGTGTGACCACCATTTGCCTCACGCAGTGCAACACATCTCCTTCGCATAGAGCTGATCAGGTTGTTGATTGTGGCCTGTGGAATGTTGGTCCACTCCTCTTCAATGGCTGTGCGAAGTTGCAGTGAGGTCAAGACCCCGATGAGGATGGCGAGCATGCAGATGAGCTTCCTTGAAACGGTTCCTGACAGTTTGGGCCAAAATTCTTTGGTTATGCAAACCGATTGTTGCAGCAGCTGTCCGGGTGGCTGGTCTCAGACGACCTTGGGAGGTGAAGATGCTTGATGTGTAGGTCCTGGGCTGGAGTGGTTACACGTGGTCTGCGGTTGTGAGGCTGGTCGTGTGTACTGTCAAAATTTTCTGAAACGCCTTTGGAGACGGCTTATGGTAGAGAAATGAACATTCAATTCACGGGCAACAGCTCTGGTGGACATTCCTGCAGTCCGCGTGCTAATTGCACGTTCCCTTAAAATTTGCGACATCTGTGGCATTGTGCTGTGTAATGGAACTGCACATTTTTGAGTGGCCTTTTATTGTGGCCAGTCTAAGGCACACCTGTGCAATACTCATGCTGTCTGGTCAGCATCTTGATATGCCACACCTGTGAGGTGGATATTATCTCCTCTCTTGATATTATCAGATATACTGCAAATTTTTTACAGAACTTGTTTTGGTTGAAGCTCTCGCCCAAACTCACCATAATAAGCCTAGAACCATCCAAACATTATGAGGGCTTTGTGACATTACACATTACCCTGCTGGAAAACTTGGTTAGTAACAATGCTTAGGTACTGTGACATTCAGATGATCTGGTTTTGATTTTCACAGGACAATGTCAGATCTTGTTATGAGCTGAAAGGAATGGTAGCCAGCATGGCCTTGTGCTGCTGTAGCCCATCCCCTTCAAGGTTGAATGAGCTGTGCATTCAGAGATGCCCTTCAGCTCACCACTGTTATTTGCCTGATTGTGTCCTTCCTGTTAGTTTAGAGAAGTCTGACAGTGAAGTGCAGCTGTTCCTGAGCTGCAGAAAACACCATCTGGAAACAATTGTACAATGTTCCTCAGCCAAACACTTACAGAACCTGTTGACTGCCTGCATGCTTTACACACACAGTAATATACTCTTTGAATAATCTTTGGTTCTGGCTGTTTGTAGTAGGGCTGAAATGATTCATCGATAAAATTTATTAACTCGATTACTAAAAAGCATCAACGTAAATTCTTGACACCGATGCTTTGTTTAATTCATATAATACCACACTGTTTTGCACGGACATTTATTACGCTGTGTGAACACGACGTGATTATGATGGCTCTGTTTGCGAAGTGGAGAAAGAGAGAGAAAATAGCGAGGGACGAAGAAGAAAGTGTCCAAAGTATGAGATTATTTTAAGCTAAAAGACCCTGTAACGTTACAGTCAGTCCACTGTAAAACGAAACTTATGTCGCCTTGGCATCTGCACAACGGCACCTGATCAGAAAGCACCCGGTGTTATGCCAACAGACCACAGACAAGGTAACATTAAAAGCAACTTTGGCATTTCATTGAAATCGGGATTGGTCATTGAGTTGAAGGCTAGCCAAAGTAAGCCAGACCTCAGCTGAAAATGTATAAATGTGTTTATTGTTCTCCTGGTTGGGCCATGAGATTGGGTTGTAAAGTCACAGTCATGAGTTAACTGAAGCTTGGAGTACTAAAATCATTGTTTGCTGCAGCCCTAGTTTGTAGCACAAGTCGCACATATCAGCATTTACCAACACCCACATACACAATTGAAAGCCATTACACATTCAACTTAACTATGCTTATCGCCTCTGCACTTGTAAGTACACCTTAATACTTCAGTGCCAATAAGGAAGACCATGTAGTTCATAGTTTTGAAACAAGAGACAATTATCTCTATTCAGCTATTAGTCATTTGGTCTCTGTCAGAAAATAGTGAAAGATGCATATCACCCTTTTCTAAACCCCAAGCTGATGTCCTCAAATTGTTTGTTTGATTTTGTAATTTGCTGCCAGGAAATACTCACATTTAAGTAGCTGGACACAGTGAATCTGTGGTATTTCTGCTTTCAAATCAACAACTAAATGATTATCAAAATTGTTGCATATTAATTTCACGTTGATCATCTAAGTCAATCATTTCAGCTCCACTGTGGACATAGGTTAATGTAAGAAGATTAGGATTTACTTCTCTACAGCAGCCTCTGACCTGTCCTATTCCAAAGACCCTGCTCACCTGTTGGGTCCAGTTGTGTCATACCTGAGCGACCAGCTTGTGTCTACTGTACTTATCCGAGGCTTAAGTCAAGGTTTAATACGACACGAGTATTGAAAGCTGTGCAGGCCATGGAACAAGCCGGTCTGTTGCGATATAACAATCACATGTGTTTACATTTTCTTTTCTCTACACATATTATAGCAACAATTAAACCAATGATTTACACCTGATGTGAGAATACCCCACACATCCTCAGGTAAGCCTTGACTAGCGTTCCAGGCCACAGTATTGGCTTTATATCGTCTGCAGATGCTGGTAATCAGGCAGATGAATAAATCAGTGTTGCCTCTATGAGCTCTCTGTGGCATTTTACTTTGCCTTTCCTGGTGCGATGCACATCATTGGCTGATCAGAAATCAGATGACTCACAGAGTGGGTTGCCAGGCGAGAGATTGCGCCTCAGTGTGATGCCAATTTTTCCAGAGGAGTGCTCTGAGGAACAAATGCTCAAAGTCAAGATAAATGGTGGGGTTGATAGCTCGTCTTCACCGAGGGTGGTAAACTGTCTATTCTTTGGCCTACAGCCGAGGTTTTCACACTGTGAGGCTCACATTTCGGGGGAATTGACGTGAAATGTAAGAGCAAAGATGATGCATGAGATGAAAATATGGGTGCATGCAGGTGTTCAAAAAAAACAGCGGAAAGTCAGTTACTGTAGTCCATAAATCTACTTAGAAATCGTAGGGAAAAAAAGACACTCAGTACTTGACTGAGATTCATCACATCTTTAAATTTTCTTCAGTGTGAAAGTAATCAAGGGACAGTTGTCTGTACATACATGGGTTCATTACACACAGGAACCATATTATCCCCCCCCCCCAAGTAAAAGTAAGACAAAGAACATTAACAGGAGCGACAACATTCAATAACAACTTCCAGCTATTTACAATTGCGGGCGGGATTCTGTCTGAGGCCAGAGATGTGCACTGTCTGTACAACTAACAGGTTAAATAACTCACCACACAAGCATCAGACATGCTTAATTAATTCCCCCACTCATTTCACAATATTGAAAAATAACTAAAGCTGCACAAATCAATATAAATATTTTGAAAAGAGAGCACACCTGCATTGAAGCAGTGATTTGTGTGTGGAAGTATAGTTGTAGGATTAAGTGACTATAAGTGAAACCAATGTATCCTTGCTGACGACAAGGGAGGCTGCAGCTCTGTATAGGGTCGAACTGATGGTGACAGTAGTAGCACCCAACACCTAGCAACGCTGGGGGGGGTGCATATGTGCGTGTGCAGTCATCGAGTACACAGCATTAGCAAAAAGGATGACAAAGGTGGGAATTAAAGCAAATAAAAAGGGAAATTACAGCTCATATATGCTCTTTTCAACCAACTCTCCTTGCTTTGTACTCATCTCTGGCACAGAAAGGATAGATTTAATCAAAACTGTCTGAGAGAAGTAATTTTCTATAATATACTAATTAGAGAGTTGGCAAGAGAGGTACAACCTCCTTTTCCATAAATGAGAAACCTTGCTGTTTGTACTCCTAACAACCTCAGTGATCAAAGCAGCCCTCACTGCAGCAGAATAATGGCCAGCACTATGAACACTCACCTCTTCATTATCATGTGATGCCAAGCATGGAGTATCCGGGAGAGCCATTATCAAGCCAGCTTTCTGAAAGTGCGGCTGTTATTTGTCTAACCTCATTCAGAAAAGCCCGTCTGTACAGACACTCTGCTCTGAACTGGGTTTCTCTTGAGCTCGACCCATGTCCCTCTGTTCTGCCCCGGATAGATAAACAAGATTACTAAGAAATACCGCTTACACTACCTGTGCACCAGCTGGAGTCAAGCACTTGAACTACTCCAGCCTTAAAAACCCAAGAAGTCAATGTGCAACTAAGGCACATGTTAAGTAGCTCATTCAGTGGATGGCCTGAACACACACACCCCGAAAAAAGCAAATTAAGCAATAAAACAGCAAATTAACAGTAGCAGATATTTCTTGCTGCTGGTTAGTGTGATTTATTAGTATGATTGCATTAGTGTGAGTATAATTCCATATCACTTTAATTTTTATTACTTTGGACTGCTGACGTCAGAGGATTTGCTGCTATGTTTACTGTCTGTGTTGACACATTGAAAAGTTAATTGTGCCATGTTGCAGACAGAGCAGAAAATCCCATATATCCATTCTGTATTTAGCACCTACAAGGTCCAATGATTATATTTAGGAAAGATCCACTCTACAGACAGGGAACGTATGAAATTAAAAACACAGTGAATCAGCATGGTGGCAAAAACAAGGAAAATAAGATCTAGCTTTAGAAATAAGCTATATTTTCGGTTTCTGTTTACATGAGCTAATTTTATGTGTTTGTTTGCTGTGCTTGTTTTTAAAGCTGTACAGCTTTACCACCTCCTGACGAAGTGAAGACAGAGAGCTAGTATTTACTTAAATTCTGGTGTTATTAGCAGCCGTAACTGGCCGGGCATACTCTTGATTTCAAATCAAATTTATGTTTTTGGTTGCTTTGCGGGTGTGACCAGCTCAATTACATTAATTGCAAATACATACTATAACTTTAACACAGATGTTGCACCAGTTTAACCTTTGACATTAAATGCAACTTTGTCAACACCGTTAGCTGTAAACTTCATATTTGTCATGTTTGAAATTAATTCAGTGCAGTGAATAGAGAGAGAGATCCACTTCCTGTCCAAATTAAGATAACAAAACGTATTCATGGCCCTATTTTCGCAGTGGCACAACAACCTGCACAAGCAGCACTGTATTTTCACAATTGTATTTTCTTGACCTTGAAATTCACATTGCCCCGCCTGTGTAATGTTTTGGTACAAATGTCAGCAGTCTGCTACAAGATAAGGCTACGCATCTGCTCACGTCAGACTTGTCAGTTATAACTCTGTATTCTGTTGTTTATGCGGGAGACATCAAATTACAGCAGCTCATTAATCCTGTGTGTCACGGCCAACTTTCCAAATTCCTTTATACCAAAAAGTGGGTTTTCATGTTTTATTCTTGAAATACATAGGAGTGCAAATGCTGTTTTGTCACAGTTTACGGTGTGATACGACCCTTTTAAGATAGATGCAGTAGAATTAAAACTGAAATAGCACCAGTTTGATGCAATTCTATAAACAGCTTATTATTTATTTAATTTGTTCCTGTTATCATTGTATAAATAAAAACAAATAAAACCCACACCATCTGTCTTTGGCTGCAGCTTTGTGGTGCTGTGTGTTCACATCGTGCTGCTCTGCACCATCCAGACAACACGATTTACCAGAGGAGTCGATTCGTCGTGTGTTGAGATTTTGTCGTCATGTGTCACTGTATTTGGTGTTGCAGTTCCAGAGTGATGTGATTGGCTGAGAGATTATTTTTTATTCACCACACTCTCCCATTTATATGCCATTACACCCAGCCCTTTAGCACCTACATGAACTGATATAACAGGTGCGCCCGGAGACGCCCACACAGTCTGTGCACACAAATCCTACCACTTTGCACTTATTGTTTCACTTGTGTGATTAAACCAGGACCTACAGTTTCCAAAACTATGGAGAAATTGCATTTTTTCTGTAGTAATTTGGTGCAAAGACTGCTAATTTCACTAGTCCATCTCACACTGCCCCCAAATTGCACATCAAGTAAACATTTTAACCTGTAAAACTCATTAGTGAGAGACAAACTGAACCCTGAATCAATAGTTGCAAGGTATGACATGGATTACTGCCTACAGTCCATTAATCATCTGAAGACTCCTTGACTCAGCTGTAGATTTGCTCATTCGTCTCCATCATCATAATCTGCTGTGAATCACTGCAGCACTGACTACAGTTACTGACTGTTGTGTTCTAAATGTTGCACATGAGTCATTATTGTACTGTAGGAGGAAACTAGGCTGCTGAGGGCACCTGCTCCATGAACACAAATCTATACCATGTTGGCCAGAGATACTTTGAAAACCAACCCAACCCCCCTGGAAACAGAACACTGCGTAACAAGATTCCTGCAACAGCCAACGTGTTTATAACTCAACCCGACCTTTGCTAAGTTGAACCTGCGCTCTGACCTTTCTCCTGAATGAATCATGGATGTGCATCTCCAGAAAATACGTTACGAAACATAACTTAACATAATATAAGTACTATCTCAAGTACACACAACTGTTCCCTAGGTGACTTTCTGATTAGTTACTACTTTGATAATTTTACCTTGCGCAATGAGTGCAAAACATGTTTCTAGATTTCTAAAAATACATCTGATAACAATCACACCGGACAAGGATGACAACCACAAACAGCATAGGTGACCATCACTTGCAAATGTATTGTAACATGTGCAGCCATGTAAATAATAATGACTGACACAGACATAATGTGAGAAGACTCCTGGCTTTTAAATATATATTGGATCTAATGGTTTAAAATATGATAATGCAAGGAGGAAATGTTTGTGTAACACGTGCTGATGTTCTCAGTATTTTAAGTTGTTTCATTTCCTCAAAACCTCTGCACCCCTGAACGTGCGACAGGTGCATCGGAAGAAAAGCACGACATTTTCTGATGAAGGTCAAGCCGACTGTAACGTCATATATAAATAAAAAGTGTACAACAGTGTGCAGGAAAATTTTAAAAATAAATATGTAGATGTTACGTGACCTGCATTAGCAAAATCACCCCACAGAGGAGCACTGCTTCTTGGGGTTTGAGAAAAACACTGACACAAGGGGAGCAAAGAGTGAGTTAAATCTTTTCAACAAAAGAGCAGTGTGGGGTTTGTTGTGAAATAGTTACAGGAAGTCTTTAGTGTAGAGTAGGTTATTCAGGTTTTAACTGAGGTTAGAAGTTGATCTGTGAATAAGATTGGTGAGTTGAAGACACCTACTGCAGTAAACCTCTGGCAAACATTATTAAGGTTAGCAGTATTTTACCTGTACTGTGGAAAGGATTATAAAAAAAAAATAATGAGAGGGTGTCATCATATAAGCTTTTCGACAGCAGCTACCACTAGATTACAACAATAGTAACGCTGACAGAAAGCACCTACGTACTACTGTCAAAATCAAACATATTTTGGTGAAAAAGCTGAAAATTAAAAACTAAAATGTCAGGGCCATGTTGGAAATAATAAAAAAATTAAAATCCTACTTTATGAACTCTGCTCCGATAGTACTGTATTCAGTGAGTAATGCAGTTTGTGAGCGAGAGAGGAGGAAATAAATAGGCACAAAGTCAATTACATAAAAAATATTGGGCTTTGCCTTTGTGCTTAGATGGAACCAGTATGGTAAGGGGTTTTGTATGGTGACATGTTCCTGGTGTTGCTGACACAACATACCCTGTCTAGACACACGATCAGCCTCCATTTTTTAATCCTGCTCAACTGCACAGGGTGTTCCACAGGGACACAGAGAGGGGGGCTCTCTCCTATTAAATAATAAACAGAGGTAATAGAACATAACTTAACGCTTCGGAATTATGTGCTGCTGTTGTGGTTGGGTTCCTCATGCAGAGATTATTTTAAATCTAAAATAGGGCCCTGTACATTTAGAGAAGCGCCAAAGAACCTGTATACGTGGATCCTCACCATATCAGTGATCTCTGGATAAGCAGACTCCACCAGCACCCCTCTGTTGGTGGAAACGTAGTCCACAAGCTCGTTAAGTGTGGCCCTCTTGATCTCCTTGCTCTTCAGGTCTGTCACTGAGTCCATGAAGTCGAAGAGCATGCAGCACTGCTGGAGTTTTTGGGTGAACAGCTCCTGCTGTTCTGTTGAGGGGGCATCTGAAATTACACAAGAGGAAATACACTGAATCATTGCTTATATACACTAGAAAGCATCCAATGGAAACAGATAACAGAAGTGACAGGAGGGGATGACAGCTGCAACTGTTTGCAGTACAGTAGGAAGTGTAAAGTAGTGCATTTTAATGGGGCCTGTGTTAAGATAAATTTTTGCTTTTAATATCCCCAGCTAATTGAAATCATCAATGAACAGAATTAAAGACACAAATAAATGTCCTCTAATGTTACAGGCAGCGGGTTTATTGCACAGTTACATATCTAAATAAACTGCTGGACAAACAGGCCGAGAGACACAATACATAGATGTATTTTGCCACACACCAACAGCCCAGTCATTCTCGGCTTTGATCGTAAAGCTTTTTATGGATTAGACGGTGAGTGCGTTCAGGGTTATTAGAGCTGTCAAAGTTGACCCCAGCTGAGCTATAAACAGCATTTGGGAGCCGTCCAGAAATGCATTGACACTGTACAGTGATGTTCTGTTCCAACACAGCAGTTCATCGCTCCAGACACAGGACTCTTTCTGTAACAGCATCAGAAGGACACAGTTAAGTGAACCAACACTGCAGGTCTGATGCACCCAAAAGGTTCTAGGGTTATGCAAATATAGATGCCATCTATGACACTTGCTGACATTAAGGTGCTAATGAATGCCTTCATTAAAATGTCTTAAATACCCATTTTCTGTATACTAAACTTCAGTTAATACATTTGGACATAAGCTCCGTTTCCCCATCTCTACTAGAACTTGAGTCACATGCATGTGATGTGAAGTTCTCAATCTACTTAGCTAGTAACACTAAGTACACAACTACTGGTATACATTATTGTAAAAAAAAAAAAAAAAGTAATTTTTGCCTCTAGAAATGGCCCTTTTCTGACATTTTTATTTTAAGACAAATCGATTAATTTAAAAATCGGGCGGCATGGTGGTGCACCGTCGCCTCACAGCAAGAAGATTGTGGGTTTGAACCTTGGTCATTCCCCGCATTTCGCCCAATGTCAGCTGGGATTGGCTCCAGCCCCACTGCGAGCTTGTACACAGGACAAGTGGTTGACGATGGATGGGTGGGTGGATCTATCACAAACATAATCATTTGTTGCAGCCCAAAAAACACACACACACACACACACACACACACACACACACACACACACACACACACACACACACACACACAGCTTTCCAGTGCTACAGTGTGTCTTCACAGCAAGAGGAGTCAGGGTGAGAAGGAGTTTCTTAATGAGCGATATTATGCAACTGAAAAGGCACTGCCCATAAAATGGGTACAAGGCTCAGCCAAAAACTCATGTTTCACACCTAGTGAAAATATTCCAGTGGTGACAGCTGACGAAGTACTTTTGCAACTGAACTCTACAGGTCAGACCACTGGCTGCTGCTCTGAGTGAACTCAATATCGAAACGAAACTATAGCAAGCTCACTTTTTAACTATTTTGCCCTAATTCCAATTTTCCAAAGTATCGAATCTCAAAGGATTCCATAATCAAAAGGGCAGACTGAATACCAAACTGGAACAAGACAGGAAAAAAGGACCATGTGGCCCCTGCAGCCTGAATGCGCTGTTAACATGACACATGGGTGACTCACCTTGTAAGTGCATAAACTGGCATATTGTGTGTTTAACACTGGATGTCGTCAATTTGGGCAGTCTTGGGCAGTTCACTAAATAGGACATTTTTTTTAAGGGCATCTTTAAAGGAATAGTTTTAACTTTTTAAATGCACTCGTTTTCTTTTAATGCTAGATGATCAATACCAGTCTCATGTCTGTACAGTAAATATGAAGCTACAGCCATGAGATGGTTAGCTTAGCATAGTATAAACACAGAAAACCGAAACACCTCTAGAACTCACTGATTAACATGGTGCCTCATTTGTTTAATCTGTACAGAAACCTTGGTTTAAAAACGACAGGTTATGTTTTTATGGGGACTGATGTGCTGGACTATTTCTTGGCCTTGCGCAATCTCATCCTGGGGTGTTGACAACCTCATGGGTAGGGCTGAACGATTAATCGTTTTCAAATCGAAATTCCGATTTGAAAGAACGCGATTAAAATGTAAGTTAATTATCCAGCGCATCTGAGTCATGCAGTTACAAATTCATTCCGTTGTCATCCTTGTGTGATAGATCTGCACGCCAATCACAAGCACCATGCGCCTCCTGTTATGGTCCTACTCACCAATCAAAGCGGGCACAGGGCGTGTAATTTTACAACAACAAACGAAGCTAGAGGAAAACGTAGGTTAATGGCGCCAGCCGACCCGACACAGGCAGCTGTTCCGCGGATTTGTCCGGCGTCAACTCACACTTAAGTGTTTCAGCAGCGGAGCGTTTAGCCTACATGTTGTTAACGTGTTGTGAACTTGTCATTTGCGTGCTTCACCTACGGATAACAGCTCTCCGAGCCCGTTCTGTTCCGCTCTCTGCAGGCTAACGTTACATATCCACATGGAGCATTTCAGAATAAGAGCGTTTTGCCTGTCTGATTTTGCTGACTTGTTCAGATTTTGCTTATTTGTTCAGTTATCCTTGATTTTTTGTGCTTCTGGTTAAGTAAGCTATGTAGTTAAATAGTTTCTTTTATTGTCGGTTTTAACTGTGTTTATTGTTGATGTACGATCGGGAGTCTGCAAAGGGTGGAAATCGACCGGATTCTCTATGCCGTTCTGTGTCTGACTTCCTGTCTGGTTCATCTGCTCTGTACTGCTAGACGCGGCTTCTGTCAAACATAGACTGGCAGTGAATATTGAACTTTAGCTAAACTTCAATAAAAAAAAACAACAACCGCAACATAACCACTCATAAAACTGCTATTAGTTTTTTTTAAACGTCAGTGTTTGAAAGGTAAACAAATGAGATAATTGTTGATTAACAGGCGAGTTTTACAGGTGCTGGTAGGCGAATTGTGGCACTTTGGACAGAGCCAGGTTAGCCGTTTCCCCCTGCTTTGAGCCTTTGTGCTAAGCTAAGCTAACTGGCAGCCGATTCATATTTACTGTACATATATCAGAGTGGTATCAGTCTTCTCATCTAACTCTAGGCATGATGGCGAATAAGTGCAAAAATGTTTAACTATTCCTCTAAGTCTAAGCTCTAAAGTTCTTCTCTTTTTGTGAATCCAATATATTTTTCTTTTTAAAGCATGCGCCACAATTCCTTTATGATAAGTCATGGTCATGCAAAAGAAGACAAACTTAGCCTCCCTTGCTGCCTGATGTAAACAATGCAGGCATAATATTCACATATTCAGTGTGTGTTTGTGTGAATGTGCTTTCTGAGTAACCAGAGAGAGTATATAAAAAATCATTTTATTTCTTTACGGGGAACTGTCTTTATCCCAGTGAGAGGAGAGATTGCTGTGCCTGTTAGAGAGTCTGACATGTAGATGCTTTTACGAATGTGAGGCTATTTTTGCCTTTCAGATACAGATGTATTTGTGTGCAAATTCCTCATGGTGCTTTGCAAGTTAGGAAAATATTTCCTTTTGAACTATGAAGCTATATAGGAAAACAAAAGAAGAATAAAACTTTTGGGACATCAGATAGAAATTCCAAGCTGCCAAAGATTTACATGGATTTCATTTCAGAGCAATAAATGGTCATGTTCATCTGAAGGACAACACAGGAGTCCTTCACTCCCACATGAAATGTTTTATCTTGGCATCACAATGTAGCAACATGAGAAGTAAATTAAGCATACACATTTTAAAAAGTCTGCCTGTACTGCATATTCTGACTGCTGTATCTTTTAAAAAGCTTCAGGAATCACTTAAATTATTATCTGGATGCAATAACATGCAATTTCATAACCACACATGGGCATGACCAAGAAAGAGGCAGGGTTAAAAGCAGAGGCACATAAGATGAATAATTATTATATAATATAATAATTATTCCTTAGAGTGAGTTAGAGTAAAACAAAAGGTCTTAATTGCTAATCTCTGCTGGTAGTGGTGCCTTGTAGTTGAACTACTGTATCTTGAGTCCTCCACTGAGAGGGGCTCTGTAACTACAGGTGACATGAATTACAGGTTTCACCATGCCTTACTGACCTTTTGAGTAGCATGACCTCAGACAGAAAAAGCATTACTTCGCAACAACAATTAAGAACAGAAACCATTACATAATGTTAAAAGTCAAATGCAATAAAACAGGATTTACAGGGAACCTCCAATGGTTTCTGCCTAATTTTGTGAATAGTCATCACCCACAGACTTCAACCATGTTACTGTTACAAGATCTGAGATGAATCTCAAAACATCTAACTCCTAAAATATGCTGCAGCTTTTTGAACAACCTTGATGCAAAAAGACACATAGCAACTCTTCTGCTCTGTATTTAGCAACACCAGACAGAGATGTTGCCAACCTCCTGTAAAAACCAAAAGTTGCACAAGCTATTCAGTTATGATATTTTCTGTTTTTTATTTCATGCTTGTCATATTCTTCAGCCTACTTTAAATGGGTGAATACCACACTGGTGTGTCACTATGAGACAAATATTATGTTGGGGTTTGTTAAGTACCATACTTGCAGAACAAAGCGTGTTTGACAGGCTGCACAATGTACAATGCTGTTGTTATTTCCAAAATCCTATAATTGCATATTCCAGAAGATTTGCTGAAATTAACCAAGTTTTTTTCATGTTCTGAAACTCTTCCCACCGTTATAACACCTCGTGTTTTTTCATAACGCCTTAGCTGAATGCAAATACAATTAAATAAAAACTATGGTGAGTTTTCTACCCTGTGGTAGCCAATGACAGCAAATGTCATAAACTTAGCTGCTGGCCAAGACAGCAGGCCCACCCTCCAAATCAGCCCCGCCTCTCTCTACAAGCAGTACTTGCAGGTTGACTGACACCAGCAGGGAGGGAGATGGACAGAGGACAAGAGGATAGACTGATACTGACTGATGTCTTGTCAGAAACATCAGTTTTCTTGGGGGAGGACCCCC